AAAAACTAAACTAGTACCACTGAACCATGAAAATGAGGTCAAGGTCAGATGACACCTGCCAGCTGGACATGTACACCTTACAATCATTACATACATGTACGCCAAATATAGTAGACCTATTGCTGATAGTATCTGAGATATGGACTTGACCATGAAAACTTAACCTTATTCACTGATCCATGAAACAAGGTCGAGGTCAAATGAAAACTGTCTGACAGGCATTAGGACCTTGCAAGGTACGCACATACATGTACCAAATATAGTTATCCAATTACTCATAATAAGAGAGAAATTAACATTACAAAAATTCTGAACTTTTTTTTCAAGTAGTCACTGAACCATGAAAATGAGGTCAATGACAATAGACATATGACAGACGGAAACTTCATATCATAAGGCATCTATATACAAAGTATGAAGCATCCAGATCTTCTACCTTCTGCAATATTAAGCTTTTAAGAAGTGAGTTAACGCCGCCGCATCACTATCCCTAATTACACAAAATTTAGATTATTTTTTTAACTTTTGTGATAAAATGGTGATATACATGTATGTGCTCAGTTGATACAACATTTTACAATTTTCATGCATCTTGGGACTCGCAAGTTTTGAAAATGATGAGTCCAGACTGATTATGATGAGTCCAGGACTCGCCTTAATGAGAACCCGGGGCTCGACAAAAAATTGAGAGACAAGTTGAACCCCGTCTGACAACACATGTAAACCTTTGATCCCATACATGTATACCAAATATCGTATTACTTATAATATGCCACAAATTCACTCGATAAAATCACTACACATGTAGTTTTTTAAGGAGCACTGAACAATGAAAATGGAATAAGGACAATGGACATATGTCTTGACAGAAACTTCTAAACATAAGGATTCCTTATACATTATCATGATTATGATTTTAAGTATGACAAATCCATGATTTCTACCCTCTGAAATATAAAACTTCATATAAATAGTAAATGTTGTTGTCCGATTAGCATTTCATGTCTTGCATGTCTTGTATTCTGAAACTTTTGTCACAGACAGGACATAACTGGAGACCTTTGAGGAATTAAGCCTACTTATACATGTTATAAGCCTCATGGTGATAGTCAGTAATTTATCTGGAGGAAAATGAACAAGGAAGATACAAAAAGTGAAGGTAGTCTTCAGTTCCAGAACAGACATAGTTGTCAGAATTTTTTTTTTTAATTATCTGGTTTATCCGTTCAAATAAAGACAGAAGAAATCTATCTATTACTAAAATATAACTGTTCTGAACTGCATTTTATTTAATAGACGTATAGCACTGTCAACATGTACAATGTACCTGACAACAACCAAGCAACAATCTTTTAGTTCACAAGTACAACAGCTTGATCCATATGTGATCCAAAATGTGCAGAATGCTATTATGGTGGGAGGTTCAAATTCACTTTATACTTCTCTACTTTGAATATTATATCCTATATCACCTTCATTGCTGGTGATCATCATGTCATGTACATGTAAAACTTATTTTTAAACTTCTATAAATGGAAACCAGATTGGTCAAATATGTCTTCATAACGAGTTGAAAATATGGAATGTCTTGGACTAGGTACTGTGGCTTCCAAAGATTTAAAGATTGTCTGATGGTCTTAAATCTGTATTGTATATGACTGTTACATGTATAAATGAAAAAGGCTTTTATATCTTTGCTTTTGTACAGACATCATTGACATTTATATTAGCAAACAATTTGCATTTCCTGGCATATCTATTTGTTTGGCGGCTGAACATTTCCAAATGCATGTTTCATGTTTTTCACATCCTTTTTAGTTTTCTGATGAAAATGCTGTTGCTTCCAGTTGATACAGATTCTATAGCTGAGCCTGTGCCTGGCCATTTCTTTATGTCTAGCATGTGTGTGAATTATTCACAGTGACTCTCAATTTCATTTCCCCAAACTTTCTGTGTCTGATTCCTTTCAATGAAGCTATATAGACCAGGGAAGAATGTCTACTCCTGAAACATGTGAAATATCAATTTAAATATATTTATGGAATATTCTGATTTCAAAACAATGCTGACTCCATTATAAAGCTTATTTAAGATTATTTAACATCCGTTTCAGAGGAACTCATTTAATTTTTTTCTTTTATAATTATTACTAGCTTTTCCAGACTAAAAGATGAAGAAAAAATGTACATGCATGTTTGTTTAGGTTTTCCCTACCTACATGTACATACCCTGTTACTTAATACTAGTGTTTATTCAAACACATTTTAATTGATATGTTCCTCTGGTTAATGACTGAATGTTTTATTAAATAAATGTTACTTACAGATATACATGTAGGTTATCTAAAAGTAAATTTATAAATTGACACTGTGAATCCATTTCTAGGATCCACATCTTCTTATCTTTGAACATTTTTTGGGGAAATAAAAACACTGGCCCTTGAGTAATCCTTTTTGGGATTAGTCCTTGAGGTGTGGATTCCCTAATCAAATTTGTACGTACATGTATTTATTATCAGAATCTGTACACAAATCTTTAAACTTGTATTTCATTTCATTTCATTTCACATTTTTTACTTTTTGTTTAGCATCATCATTTCCAGACATTAATCTTATAAGATACCTATTGATTTTGTTTGATGGTTGGTTGTTTTCTGAACAATTTAACATACATGTATGTACTATGATAGAGATAGCCTCGTCTGTCTTGTTCTATATATTGATCAAGTATATGTATTAGACATGTTGAATTTAAAGATAGAGTATTCTATCAGTCAAGAGCATAATTACTTAATCAAGTCTTCAAACTTATTTATACTAGTAATGTTACAAATGAAAACAAAGCAGTGGCGGACCCAGAAATTTTCTTCATAATGGGGGCCTGTACAGCCATGCTTCAGTGATTCCCTATATAAACAACCAAATTTTTCCAAAAAAGGGGGCCTGAGCCCCCTGAGCTCCCCCTCTAAATCCGCCTCTGCAAAGTTACTCAATCATGTAGTTAAAGCTAAATATTTGAGTATAAAAGACTACAATAAATGGGGAATGTGTCCATAGGACACAGATGATGCCCACTCTTGCAGATCATATAAAGTTATAAAACGACATAACTGAAGAACGGTAAAAGTGATGCTTCCCAAATTTGTGCTTGATCTGAGTTTTTTTGGTAATAAGTATTGTGTATAAGTTTCATAACATTTGGTTGAGGCAAACTAAAGTTAGAGATTGAAACGACAAATTCAGCAATTATACCATTTGTTCTGGAACGGTTAAAGTAACACTTTTTGCCTCTTTCAACTGATTTTTATAGTTCGTTCTTATATTGTACTGTTACACCACTGTCCCAGGTTAGGGGGAGGGTTGGGATCCCGCTAACATGTTTAACCCTGCCACATTCTGTATGTATGTGCCTGTCCCAAGTCAGGAGCCTGTAATTCAGTGGTTGTCGTTTGTTTATGTGTTACATACTTGTTATTTGTTCGGGTTTTTTTTACATAAATTAGGCCGTTAGTTTTTCTCGTTTGATTGTTTTACATTGTCATTTCGGGGCCTTTTATAGCTGACTGTGTGATATGGGCTTTGCTCATTGTTGAAGGCTGTACGGTGACCTATAGTTGTTAATTTCTGTGTCATTTGGTCTCTTGTGGAGAGTTGTCTCATTGGCAATAATACCACATCTTCTTTTTTATATGTACATAAACAGGATGAAGTTATTTTTCTCACAAAGCATTAAACTAATATTTAATGAACACTGAAACACTAATTGCCATTCTGACCCACTGTAGCCGAGTCCAAGAATAGTGAACAATTAATTTCTTTCTTGGCAGAAAATTTCCCCTAACAATTATCTGGAGCACCACATGATATCAACATGTATCAGTGTGTGACAGAAGTAAAAAAAGTATGCTGATATTAAAACTTCTTCTGCATGTGCTTGCATAAGTATAGATGTATATCTTTGCAAGTACACAGTAGAATATCATTAATAAGATGACATTATGATTTATATACTATTACCAATGAATTTAGATTTATCTGATCCCATATCTTCATTGACTTTGTAAATTATAATTTTTTGGTAGGAGAATTAGGAGAATGAAGACTTGCAATGTATTTTCTGGGATATTGTTATGTTTTTTTAAAGTACACTGTGAATCCTCCACACAGATTTTTTTTAATAAACACTCGAGAAGTTGCCCAATGATAGAAAAATGTCAACCTTTAATACTCTATTTTCGAGAATTTACCTTTTGAATGCAGACTTGATTATCGGGTAGCAGATATCTGGTATGTAAACTCTTTCCATAGCCCGTTTGAAGCATGTTGGAAGCCTGACCATGCAATCTTTGATTTCCAAAATTTTTCTCTTCTCAAATTTCAATTCTTTCACTTTGTACTAAGGCAAAATTTCAGTTAATGCATTTTCTATGTTGTTTTTCCCAGGGGAAATCATAGAGAATTTCTACGTCGCCATCTTCAACATGTTCCTAGGTCGCGTTTATAAGGAGCATTCTGATTGGTCGATATAAATACTTTCTGGGGTCAAATATTACGTTATATAAGGTCACAAAAGTGAAACCTTGTAGGGTACTTGTTAGATCTTCGTATGTAGTATAACGTAGTATAACGAAATCCGAGATCTATATTTTAATTAGATTGAGGAACACCCCTTAGCGGGTAATATTAAAATATTCAATAGGGGGAAGAAACAGGGATAAAATATATTACATATTACGTATGCTTAAGAAACTTTTCTAACATACTGTTGAATTAAAGTACCTGTAAATTGACATATTATAAACAGATGACGAGATAGTTGTGAGGGTAAGGTAGTCATGCTGGCAGTACGGAAATGCCAGGTTCGAATCTCAAAAATTTTTTTGTAATTTTTTTTTTTTTTTGCATAAATGCATAAATACTTTTTTAATATTGTCATAACGTGTTATAGATGATTTTGAATGATGAAGTTTTTTTTATAGCTATTTACTGAAGAGCAGTATACATGGTATTTTGAATAGAGACATTGTACTTCACCAGTATGTACTAGCAGTTGTCACTTACATACTTAATGGTCCCTTAATAAGGTATTCCTTATTTTTAACTGATTCATGTCTTAAAGCATTTGTGCTCGAATAAACAGTTTAAACCTATGTTTGAATGATGATTAATTGATAACATTGTATTATCAGGCACAGAAACAAATAGACTACTTTTTGACAGTTTATAGTGTGCGGCTATAGAAGTAATAATCTTTTATCTTTAAATTGAGAAATGGTTATTAATATTTTTATAGTAATTTTAATACACTTTCTCAACATAAAATGTTTACTTAATACCCTGTCATATTTAGTTCAAAATAAGTATACATTATTTTGATAATCTTAATTTTTTTCAACAGATTTTAAGCTGGCTTAAACAATGCAAGTGTATGCTGGGTGAAAGGGATATGTCGGTTCCTGATAGGAACTCATGACCTTAAGGTGAGTCTAGGGTTAAGATAAATTGACTGTGTGTTTTAACTTCTAGTAATTATGATAAACGCATGCATTATCTACATTTCGAGAAGACTTAGAGGTTTACATATTGAGTAGACATTATTTTGTTGAATATTATATGTTTCCCTCTGTTTGTCTTTTGTGTGTGTGTGTGTTGTTATAGGGGTGGTGGTTTGCTGTCCCATTAATGTTTATCCGTTACATCTTTGTATTCATGTTTTAGGTTGTAATTTTCTAATATATGAAGACTTTAAGATTTATTTATTATTATTAACTATCCGTAATTTTGATACTGACTTAAACACTTTTGTCCGTTTAAACATTAAACGATAATTAAGTATATAAACAATCAGGGTTGAATATAGCATATTTCAAAACTGATATTTCGTGATGGCATTTGCATGTAAATTAACAAAAACGTAAACACACACACACACGTGCACAGACAAATACACACAACTAAACTAAGAAACATACGCACCATGATATTCTCAGGCTAAAACATTTTACGATATTGTATTTTATAATTTTAAATCACACTTTGGATATTCTGTATGTTATTTTGATTTACCTCATGCTATCTGTTTAAATATTTCCATTTCTAATTTTCAGAGAATGTCAACGCCCAGAAACTATACTTGCATTTTGTGTTCAAAGAGACCAAAAACCAGAGACAGGCGGAAACTCATAGGACCCAACAATAAATCACTGCGTAAATGTTTACAACAGAATGTTTTCATTGAACAGGACAAAATTAATCACACTAACAGTGTTATATGTAATAAATGCAGAATACGATGCTCTCGAGAAATTGACACAAATGTAAAAAAGATGCCCCATACAAACTACAATATCTGAATTAAATAATGATGACACGGAGTACGTCCCTCCAACAAAATATGCTAGATGTCATCCATGTAAATCTCCGCCAAGTATCACACTGCCTATACCATCAGCTGGAGGTGGCCATTCGCAGTGTGTTGTGTGTAAACGCCGAGGCCCAAAGCTAGTAGTCCCAACAAACGCTAGATTTAATTTATTTTTGGATAAACTCATTGTTCTCACAGTTGGTGCCAGATGTTGTCCAGGTCACTTGTGCAATGAAATATTTTTACCTGATGCACTTCACAGAATTTCACATTCGCAGTCTTCGTCCATTTTCAACCGTACTGACTTAATGGACCTTATTACGCAAATCCGAGATATGGCATTGAGAGGAAGCAAGCGGCGAATTGATTTTGATACAGAAAATGCACTTACAAGCTCAGACATGTTAAATCTGACAGGCCTTTCTAAGGAAAACTTTAATGACCTATGTTCAATTGTCCAAAAGGGTAATTTACGGGATTCTCGGACTCGAAGTGTTCGGACATGTATTGGAATATTTTTGACCAAATTGAAGTCAGGTTTATCCAATAAACGTTTATCAACACTTTTTAATCTTGGTAAAGATTCTGTTAGACGTGTAATTGCATCAGCTAGAAAATTCTTGTCTGACAATTTTGTTCCCTCTAATCTAGGATTTAATCATATAAGTGGGGAAGAGGTTATAACATCGCATACTCGACCTCTAGCGCAATCACTGTTTGGAAAAGGAATGTATCCAGCAATTATAGTCGTAGATGGCACTTATATTTATATCCAGAGAAGTTCACAATTCAAGTTCCAACGTAAATGCTATAGTATGCACAAACATCGACCATTGGTTAAACCAATGGTCTTTGTAACAACTTCTGGTTACATTATAAGTGTAATTGGACCGTACTTTAGCGACGCCAAAAACAACGATGCACAAATAATGAAGCACATCATTCAACATGACATTGAGGAATTTAAAGAATGGGTGACTGAGGATGACATTATGATTGTCGACCGGGGTTTCCGAGATGCACTTGACTTACTGCAAGAAATGGGTATCCAAACACAAATGCCAGCTTTTAATAAAAAAGGGGAGTCTCAACTTCCAGTTGAAGACAGCAACGTAACAAGACTAGTTATAAAAATCCGTTGGGTGGTAGAGTCCGTGAATGGCCGCATTAAGTCATGGAAATATCTAGATAGAGTTCTACCAAATAGCCAGATTCCATTTGTATCTGATTATGTCAATATTGCCTGTGCAATCATGAATAAATATTGGCAAGAACTAAATACAGGGGACTCAGAACAAGATGAACAATTGGCGTCTAAAATGCTTTATCTTTCAAAGCAAAAGAACTTACTCCATGAGAAAATAATAAAGGAAGGCCTTGACAAACGTTCTTGTAAATGGCAAAAGATTGATGCTTCATCCGCCCCTACTTTTCCCCGTTTATCAGAAGAAGATATAAGAAATATTACTGTTGGAGTCTACCAACTAAAACTTGCTCCAAGTTTTACAAGAGAACACCTAGATGACGATGGTAATTATGAAGTTTTTACATGTGACCATGAAGAGAATCTTTTGTGTGCTAAAATTCAATCAAGACATATATCATCAAAATGCTATCGTGTATGGGTTAAATATGATGACATTAGTGTCGTGGGTTGGTATTGCCAGTGCAAAGCCGGAAGTCGTGTTGTAGGAACCTGCTCTCATGTTACGGCCTTAATTTGGTATCTTGGTATTGGAAAGTACACGGATAGAATTTTTGAAAACTGTCGTGATTGGAGCAAATATCTTCTTAATGCTCGTAACCTGCCAGATCCAGTTACTGTTGACGAAAGTGACAACGAGGAAGCAAATGATGAAGAGTGAATGACGTGAAAATTCTTTTTTTTTTTTTTAATTTGAAAGAAATTAATGACAAAACGTTTAATTCCTTTTTGAACCATACATTTTACAGTGTATATCATTTGATATGTCTGGAAATGTTTTTACCAACTGCTTCCTCCGACATTGTACAGAATTGAAAGAATGGTTGTTAATTTGCTTGGTTCCTTTTTATCTAAAATCGTACTTCTTTTATGTATTAGTGTATATGAAAAAAAAAAACAATCCGTGTTCTTTAAAACTGACAGAAAGATAGTTCAATGCACGGGTTAAAATAACTGAATCCATTTCTTTTATATTTCAAACCGTAGGAAATCATTAGATAGTCGCTGTACGTAGTAGCTCATTTTTTTATATGGGTTATTAGATATGTGACCCAATGTGTATTTTATGTATAATACATCACATTTCTTCTATTTTAATCACCTTATCCATTCGTATGACCGTGCGTTTGTCAAACAAATATTTTCCAAATATTTCTTTTCTCAAAACTAATATACATGTCAGAATGTCATCATATTTTGTCATCGACCAACCCTATCAAGTTGTAGTTTGTGTGTTTTTTTTTTTTCTCGAATCTCTCAGACAATAACTTCATGTTTTCTTGTATGTTAATTGAGTTACTAGTTCAACATATTTCTTCATATACATGTTTTTCATATGACTATTTGCAAGTAATTGTAATATTTAACAAATAGGTACATAACTCATGAAAACATATGTTCATGATAAAGCATAATGACAGTTTTTTTTTACTTTATAGCTTGTGAATTGAGTAATCAGAGTATATCCATTCCTTCCGGCTTGCTCACGGAATATTGCGGATTGCAGAAAATATAGAATAGTTTGTCACATAATGCAGAATTAATAAATATTCTTTGATAAAAAATACTGTATGCATATGCCTATTGTTAATTCTTTTTTTTTCCTAAATAAGGAAAAATGAGATTTCTATTTAACCTTATGAAATAACTGGTGGTTTTGTTAATTTCAACGTTTTCGAGAAAAAAAACAAGGTTATGACACCAAGGTTTACTTATGTTTATATTGAAAATCGAAAATTTATTGATCCAGAGGTCTTTAAAGAAGTTTAAGAAAAATATATTGTCCAACATTTAAACACCCAAGCTATCTGAAAGCGCTTATCTATGATTTGATTATTTTTTTATGTAGGTTTCTGTTGCCATAGCAACGGTAACTGTGTTATTATAAGTAAAATGAATTGTAAACAAATATTATGAAATAGCATTTGTACACTGTATGAGTTGAATAATAACATTTCCCTAATCAACTGAATGTTAAAACAGTATGTGCTACAATGATATTTCAAAACGGCTACAAATAAAAATATTCCATGAAAAAAAAAGGATTTTTTTATTTATCTGTCATTAGTTTTGAAAGTTTCTTACGCGAAAACGGCTTGAGATATGAACAAAATCTTTTCTGTTCTATGAAGTGGATAGTTCAGGCATGATTTTCAGAAAAAATGAATTTGTTCTAAGATGGGGCCGATTTTGGGCCTTATTGCCCCTACTCCTTTGTATTCTTTCTGTGATGGTAACATTAAATATAATACCGTGTGTAAGGAGAGTGTCACGCTCTCTTAACGTTCAAAATTCTTCTTCAAAAGTGGTTTTTCGGGAGGTAACATATGTCCCTAACCAACATACCTTCTTTACAAGGGGCAGTCAAAGTTCTTGTCCTTTATCTGATCATGCCATTGCATAACCCACCTTTTTGATGTGTTATTAATTTGTTGGTGTCCTTAAGAAGCATGCAAAATTTGATACCGACAAACAAACAACATCCTCCTTTTTCTCTGCCTCATATTTCAAACTTTTGTTTTGAATCTATATTGGCTAAAAACTCGTTTCAAAATCTTTATTTTATTGTAAGACGAATTTATCCTTAGACCACCATGACAGGAAGATCATAAAATTACTGTCTAAAATACAAAGTTTGTACAAAAGTACATTTGTAGTTTTACTAAAAAGAACCTATTACAGACATACAAACTTTCCCAGCTGGTATTGAAAGAAAAAACTTAATTTCACTGTACCATTAGGTATTTTCTTTACAAGAAAGTGTGTTTTGATCATATCTCAACGATATTCTTATTCTACAAATAACCTGAAACTGAACTGGCAATTTGTTGAATTTTGTTTCAAAATTACAGCTAATTAAAAAATAAATAAAATAATAAAAATTCACAACTCCAAGGAAAATTCAAAACGGAAAGTCCTTTATCAAATGGCAAAATTAAAAACTAAAACACATTAAACGGATGGATAAGTCATTGTACTATATGTTTGTCAAGTTTAAGCATTTTGTTAGTTACCTGAAAATTCGGTCATTTTACAAAATGCTTGTAACATATACACAAGTGTGGAATATTATCAACATAACAAGAACAATAGTAAATGTGGCTTCACATACACCTACATACTATGTCTTTATACCACTTTACAATATGCTTTTATAACACTTTATCATATGTCTTCCTACCGCTTTACAATATGCTTTTATATTAACACTTTATCATATGTCTTTCTACCACTTTACAATATGCTTTATAACCCTAATCATATGTCTTTCTTCCACTTTACATTATGCTTTTATAACCCTTTGTCATATGCCTTTCTGCCACTTTACAATATGCTTTATAACCCTTTATCATATATCTTTCTACCACTTTACAATATGCTTTTATAACCCTTTATCATATGTCTTTCTACCACTTTAAAATATGCTTTTGTAACCCTTTATCATATGTCTTTTTACCACTTTACAATATGCTTTTATAACCTTTTATCATATGTCTTTCTACAACTTTACAATATGCTTTTATAACACTTTATCATATGTCTTTCTACCGCTTTACAATATGCTTTTATAACACTTTATCATATGTCTTTCTACCGCTTTACAATATGCTTTATAACATGTTATCTTATGTCTTTCTACCACTTTACAATATGCTTTTATGACCCTTTATCATATGTCTTTCTACCACTTTACAATATGCTTTTATAACCTTTTATCATATGTCTTTCCACCACTTTACAATATGCTTTTATAACCCTTTATCATATGTCTTTCTTCCACTTTACAATATGCTTTTATAACCCTTTGACATGTCATATGCCTTTCTGCCACTTTACAATATGCTTTTATAATCCTTCATCATATGTCTTTCTACCACTTTCAGTATATTTTATAACACTTTATTATATGTTTTTATACCACTCTATCATATGTCTTTTTGCCATTGTATTATATTTCTTTATACAACTTTATCTTATGTCTTTATACCACTTTATCATATTCTATTTACAACGTTATCATATATCTTTTCACCACTTTAACATATGTCTTTTAACCACTTTATCATATGTCTTTATACCACTTTATCATATGTCTTTTCACCACTTTATCATATGTCTTTTTACAACTTTATCATATGTCTTTTTACAATTTTATCTTATGTCTTTTCACCACTTTATCATATGTCTTTTAACTACTTTATAATATGTCTTTTAACCACTTTATCATATGTCTTTATACAACTTTATCATATGTCTTTATACCACTTTATCATATGTCTTTATACCACTTTATCATATGTCTTTATACCACTTTATCATCTGTCTTTACACAACTTTATCATATATCTTTTCACCACTTTATCATATGTCTTTTAACCACTTTATCATATGTCTTTATACCACTTTATCATATGTCTTTCCACAACTTTATCATATGTCTTTTTACAATTTTATCATATGTCTTTTCTCCACTTTATCATATGTCTCTTAACTACTTTATAATATGTCTTTTAACCATTTTATCATATGTCTTTATACAACTTAATCATATGTCTTTATACCACTTTATCATATGTCTTTATACCACTTTATCATATGTCTTTTCACCACTGAATCATATGTCTTTTTACAATTTTATGATATATCTTTTCACCACTTTATCATATGTCTTTTAACTAATTTATAATATGTCTTTTAACCACTTTATCATATGTCTTTATACAACTTTATCATATGTCTTTATACCATTTTATCATATGTCCTTATACCACTATATCATATGTCTTTATACCACTTAATCATATGTCTTTATACAACTTTATCATATGTTTGTATACCACTTTATCATATGCCTTTTTATCACTTTATCATATGCCTTTATACCACTTTTTCATATGTCTTTATACAACTTTATAATATGTCTTTTAACCACTTTATCATATGTTTTTCTACCATTTTATGATTTGTCTTTATACAACTTTATCATATGTCTTTATACCACTTTATCATATGTCTTTATACCACTTTATCATATGTCTTTTTACAACTTTATCATATGTCTTTTCACCACTTTATCATATGTCTTTTAACTACTTTATAATATGTCTTTTAACCACTTTATCATGTCTTTATACCACTTTATCATATGTCTTTATACAACTTTATCATATGTCTTTATACCACTTTATCATATGTCTTTTAACCACTTTATCATATGTTTTTCTACCATTTTATGATATGTCTTTATTCAACTTTATCATATGTTTTTATACCACTTTATCATATGCCTTTTTACCGCTTTATCATATGTCTTTTTACCACTTTATCATATGTCTTTCCACCACTTTATCATATGTCTTTATACAACTTTATCATATGTTTCATACCAATTTATCATATGTTTCATACCAATTTATCATATGTTTTATACCACTTTATCATAATTTTTACACCACTTTAATTATTATATGTTTTCATTGAAATTCTATATATACAAATGTAAATGTAAATTATATTGCCCACAAAATATGGTGGGATAAAATATTCGATAAGTAAAGAAAAAAACTCTTGCACAAAAAGTTAAAATATGTTTGGAGTAGCAATTGTAAGAAGCAGCATTTAATTAACCAAATCAACTGTAAGATATTTTCTGATATCCTTATAACTTGAACAATCTTACAAGTGCTAAATATTTTTTTAAATTTGTGTCTTATATTGTATAATGTAATTTTATATGTTTCATTTTGAAAAATAAACAAACCAAATGTCTTAAAACTGACTAAAAGACTGAAAATGGCTAAATGCTTTATTGTGCAGACTTATCAGATGATGATAAGATCATAACTATCGTTACAAACTAAACTTTATTAATTAGTGAAACAATGTGTGTTTTGAAATACAAAATCTCTCATCCTCTCATTGTTTTTCCACAGTTTTTATTTAAAGTGTATTTACTTTTTGCTATCTTCTTTAATTTCACAGACGATTTTCACAAAATATGACAAGAAACGATAAAATATTGTTTACTTTATAACTCATAAGTCGAAGAGAAACTAGCAACGTCATGACAAAATGAAATGATAGACGACAAAACGACCAAAAAAAAAACTTAGCAACACGGACTCCACATGGTTTTGGAAATCATGTAAAATAAGGTTTAAATCATAATATATAGTATTAGATACCCTAATAATGATTGAGGCTAAGTTTGGTTTATATAACCCAGAGGTTAAATTAAAAGCAAGTCATCCACCTAGTAACTAGACTTACAATAGTTACTGAAGACCCCTTATCATTTTTTAAAGTAGTTTTCAAGTTGTGACGATTTGAAATTGTGTTTTTTTACAATTTTCCCTGAGACTTCTATAGTAAATCCCTATGTTCTATTTTTAGCCATGGCGGCCATGTTGGTTGGATGACAGGGTCATCGGATATATTTTTTAATCAAGATACCCTATTGAAAATTGTGGCTAAGTTTTATTCTATTTGTCCCAGTAAATTCAGTGGAGAAGATATTTGTAAAAGATTAAAAAGATTTACGAAAAATAGGTTAAAAAATTTGACTATAAAGGGCAAAAACTCCTTAAGAGGTTAATTGAAAATTTTGGTCATATTGACTTATTTGTAGATCGTACTTTGCTGAACATTATTGCTGTTTACAGTTTATCTCTATCTATAATAATATTTAAGATAATAACCAAAAACTTCAAAATTTCCTTAAAATTACCAATATTCAGAGGCAGCAACCCAACGGGTTGTCTGATTTGTCAAAAATTTCAGGGCAGATACATCTTAACCTGCTGATCATTTTTACCCATGTCAGATTTGCTCTAAATGCTTTAGTTTCAGAGATATAAGCCAAAGACTGCATTTTACCCCTATGTTCTAATTTTAGCCATGTCGGCCATCTTGGTTGACAGGCGGGGTCATTGGACAAATTTTTTAAACAAAATACCCTAATGATGATTGTGGCCAAGTTTGGTTAAATTTGGCTCGATAGTTTCAGAGGAGAAGGTTTTTGTAAGAGATAAAAAAAAAAATTAAGAAAAATTGTTAAAAAGTGACTATAAAGGGCAATAACTCCTTAAGGGGTCAATTGACACTTTTGGTTATGTTGACTTATTTGTAGATATTACTTTGCTGAACATTATTGCTGTTTACAGTTTATCTCTATCTATAATAATATTCAAGATAATAACCAAAAACTGCAAAATTTTCTTAAAATTACCAATTCAGGGGCAACAACCCAACAACGGGTTGTCTGATTCGTCTTAAAATTTCAGGGCAGATATATCTTAACCTGATGAACATTTTACCCTATATCAGATTCGCTCTAAATGCTTGTAACTTGGATGGAGAGTTGTCTCATTGGCACTCATACCACATCTTCCTATTACTATATCATGTATTGTATTTGGTAAAATAATTTGAATTCTAAGTAATACATATTTCATATTTTATGTCTTTAAACTAGGTAAAATAACCCGACCGTGCAAGACCCTCATGGGTAGCCATGGTCGTTAAACAAAACCCTCGTCGTCGTAAAATAAAAAAATGATAAAGCTAGTTTACCTTTATGACTATGTATAGATGTTTTATGACGAGGTCCATAGCCCATCGTTTTCCAGACTGTGTCAGCACGTCTAAGGCATCACTCCACTCATTATCATACAATTTAGAGTACATGTAAATAATGCTGTTTGGTCTACTGCTCTTCTGTGATATTGGGAAAATGCTTTAGTTTCAGAGATATAAGCCAAAAACTGCATTTTACCCCTATGTTCTATTTTTAGCCATGTCGGCCATCTTGGTTGGCAGGTGGGGTCATCGGACACATTTTTTAAACTAGATACCCTAATGATGATTGTGGCCAACTTTGGTTAAATTTGGCCCAGTAGTTTCAGAGAGGAAAATTTTTGTAAAAAATAACGACGACGACGACGGGCGACGACGGACGACGGACGCCAAGTGATGAGAAAAGCTCACTTGGCCCTTCGGGCCAGGTGAGCTAAAAAAAACAATTCCTCGTTAGGCTTGATTGACAAAACCAATTTGAATGCTGCTGAGAACATTTTTAATATTTAGATCAGCTGGACATATATGCAGAATCGTTTTCCACTACGAAAAACTACCTATTACAAGCAAGTCTTGTAGACAGGTTAGCAATGTACCTGTCTACCAATCCCAGTATTGCTCATAAAATGCAATCAGAGTTTTGCTTTCAGTTTGTGTATTCAAAATGGATTTACGATTGTTGAACATGGTCAAGGATGTTGCTTCTTATTAACCAGAGGTTCTGACAATTTCACTAAAAGTTTAAGTACAACATTAAGCAACAATTATTGGAAGTAATTGAGAGAAACCGACAGAGAGGAAAATGAAATAGATTTCGAATTTATGGAAAATGCACTGCCTTCTATCATACAAGAAACATTCAAACAAGAAACATACAATTTCGAATTTATAGAAAATACACTACCTTCTACCATACAAGAAACATTTAAAGTAGTTTGAAATGAATAAATTTTATCTTTCAAATTGGAAATGGCTATCTTTATCATTTATTGGTAAAACGGATAACGTTGTACACTTGTGTTTGTTTTATTTTGTATCATTTCCTCGTCTGATTGTACATTTACTTAACGAACTTGTACAATTCCTTTAACTAGAATCTCGCCATCCTCCTTAAGAAGTAATGGTGGCCATACACAATACTCAATTCTTTTTCCTCCCTTGGTAAATTCTCTATATAAATCTTTGTCAACTACTGATCCTTTCGGTGGTTCTTTGTCTAAACACAACGGGGGCTCCTCTAAGGTCATGCACCAGCATAAATATACACATTTACCGTAAAATGGAGTATCGTATATTTGTTTAAGTAACTTGTCCTTTTTAAATGAGCACTTGGTCAGCTCTGATTGAAACTGGTCCATCTTTGGTATGTTCTAAGGTAAAAAAAAATAAAATTCAATTATACGAATCATCAGTAAGAGATATAGATAAATTAATATTCATTTACAAAATTTACAAAGAAAAAGTTAGGTAAATAAATACGAGTTTTCTTTAAAACAAAATATTCGTATCTGAGGACATTCTTAAGGAGATCAAGTTAAAATTTGATACATTAAAACCATTAATCATCTAAACTAAAGAATAATGTCATTATGTTTGCTCATGTTGACAAACTATAAGTTAATTTCAAGATGATAAATCACATTAAGAAAGTTTTGCAGTGTTCTTTTGTTTAGGATTTAGTGTTCTGTATTTATTTTTTTCTACAAAACACTCATAAGTGGCGCTGGAATTATACTAGTTAGATCAAGATTTGTAAGAAAGTTGAAGAGCTTTAAAAAACAAAATAATTTAAAAAGAAATATTTAAAAATAAAAACACCGTAAAAAGTGATACCTGTCTGATGTTTATGGCTGTATCAACTGCTATTCGTCTACGTAAATCCATTATTGCCTTTATATCTGTTAGAGGGAGCTGAAAGAAAAAAAATATATTCTTAATAATCTAAAACACATTTCTTTAATTTAAAGGAAACAAATGGTAAAAGAAAAGCACCTATCCCTGATATAAGACGGAGGAAACAATCAAATAACTCTTGGTTGATTTTTTTTTCTTTCTAACTATATTCAGTCCTTACGATCATACATATTAAGATCATATAAACAGGCATGACTTTAAAGCTATGGACATTGCCTAATCGATAAATAACAAAAGTCGAAGTTTTGCCCCAAAAGATGAAATGTTGTTATATATGTTGAATAAAATGCCATATAAATGGTTTTTTATTAACTTTTTTATTAAAATGTTAAATAAAAACTATACATCCACGTGATTTTCTCTTTGTTTGGTATAATTGTCACATTTGCAAATCACATCACTTCACCTTATTTTCTAATTTTTTCTTTTTGTCTGTTAAGTTGCAAGAATCTCTAGGTTTTAGTCTTAAACTCACCCTTCGGCCATTATTTGAGAGAAACACTGTGTCAATCAGATCTTGTAGCTGTTGCTCTTCTATATGTTTACATATTTTGTAACAAGCCTGGAATACACATACACACGTTTACGAAGCACAATCCATTGATAAAGAATTAACAGATTATCGGAAATGCAGTATTAGTATGAAAACAAACTGTCCTAAGTCAGGAATCTGATTACAGTAGTTGTCGTCTGTTTATGTAGTTCATACGTGTTTCTCGTTTTTATATAGATTAGACCGTTGGTTTTTCCGTTTGAATGGTTTTACACTAGTAATTTTTTGGGGCCCTTTATAGCTTGCTGTTCGGTGTGAGCCAATGCTCCGTGTTGAAGGCCGTACCTTGACCTATAATGGTTTACTTTTATAAATTGTAACTTGGATGGAGAGTTGTCTCATTGGCACTCATACCACATCTTCCTATTACTATATCATGTATTGTATTTGGTAAAAAAATTTGAATTCTAAGTAATACATATTTCATATTTTATGTCTTTAAACTAAGTAAAATAACCCGACCGTGCAAGACCCTCATGGGTAGCCATGGTCGTTAAACAAAACCCTCGTCGTCGTAAAATAAAAAAATGATAAAGCTAGTTTACCTTTATGACTATGTATAGATGTTTTATGACGAGGTCCATAGCCCATCGTTTTCCAGACTGTGTCAGCACGTCTAAGGCATCACTCCACTCATTATCATACAATTTAGAGTACATGTAAATAATGCTGTTTGGTCTACTGCTCTTCTGTGATATGGGAGGTAACTCGCTGACTTTGTCGTGGATAGTAGTGGATACTGTTTCTGCTATGCTGTGATTGGCTACAGTTTCAATGGTCATCCTGAAATATAAAGATTTTAATGTTCTTGGAATTTTTCAGGTATGACAAAATGTATCAAAGAAATTAGGTAACACCTTTTAAGGATGAAGATAATCTATGATATGACTTCTCTCGTGAACTTTTAATGCAAAATAGATAGAGATGTTCGAGAACCGGCATTTAAGAAGTGGAGGAAAATCTCCGTCGCATTTGTTTTTTTGGACGACTGCAGTTTGTCTTAATTACGGAAACTTATGTGTAATGCTTATTGCACTCCGGATTCGAGCGCTACTGGTGGGTCTTCATTTGAAGAAACGCGAGTATGGCGTACGAAATTATATGGTAGATTGTTTGTATCTTTGATGAGTTATTACCTTGCTTTATGCTTTGTAGAAATTTCTAATGAAGTTTTAGAAATGTTCTGATAATGATAATAAAATTTATTTGGATATGCTATCCTATGTAATAGTTTACTTCGTTCATTAAGTTTTTATTCGTTAATTTTAGTTTTGAATGTTCCTATTTTAGTAATAAACTGTGTTGAAATGTTGCTAGTCCGCTTTGGATAACATCTATTGCGTCAAAAATTATTAAATCTTCTAAACTCGCGGAATGCCAAACATTTTCTATATGTCGATTGTTTACTTGTGTTGTTTTTCTCTTTGCTGCTTTTAATAGTGGTAATTGATTATTGGGTGGGTATCATCGATATCTTTATGGAATAATTCATTTTAAAAAGTTTTGTCCTTGGAAAGTATAATGTATAAAAATTGATATTGGTACAACGGCTTAAGGTGATTAAACACAGAGTTGCCTAGAAGGATTTTTAATATTTTCTTTTATCCTGCAATCACCCAACTTTGTACAAATAACATGTAGATCTACACTTGCTTTATTTGTAATTGTAAAATTGAAATAATTCAATTGAGAAAACTAACGGCCTAGTTAATAACGAAACTACAGGCTTCTGTCTTGGGAAAGGCATATATAGAATGTGGCGGGGTTAAACATGTTTGAAGGCGCCAATTCTCCCCTAATCTAGGAGTGTGGTAACAGTACAATATTAGAACAAACTAGAAAAATCTACAGTTGAAAAGGGCTTAACTCGTCAGATCGATACATAGCAGAAAAGACATCTATTAAAACTTGATAATACAGGCCGGACGTGGCAGGGTATTTATACATCCTTAAAAACAAGAAATACACAAAGTACAGATCTGAGAGAACTCACAGTTACTGACAGCTAGTTCATAGCCAATAACAACTAATAAAAAATCATGTATCTAAGACGAAAATATCAATCAGTACATATCTAACATCCAACGGATTTAGTTTAAAGACGTCATTAACAGTCAGAGAAAAACATGACCTTACATGTATGTAATGCCAAATTATAGGTATAGACAGATTGTAGTACCGTGAATGTGCATATGTGTAAAACAATAATATTTAGCATGGTTTTGATTTACTGATGACAATATATACACCAATAAAAGCAATATTCAAATGTCTACTCACAGTGTTGAATTGGTAACCTTTTAGAAAAAGTTTATTTAAAGGATTGAAAAGTTTACCCGGATCGTATCTAAATTTCAGGGCTCGGTAAACAACATCACCGTAATATGTCGATTTCTTTGAAAAAGCAGAGCCAACTATTTGGATTTAAACGAATAAACCTTAAAGTGTCGTGTAAAAATTACAGGATAAAAATAATATATGTACATTGTCAGAAATATAAAATTTATTTGTACTCGCTACGAAACAGGAGAAACGCTCGGCGAGCCTCGCTTTTCGTCCTGTTTCTAAAAGAAATATAAAATGTATTTGTACTCGCTACGAAACTGGAGAAAAGCGAGGCTCCCAGCTTTGCTTTTCTTCCTGTTTCTTAAGCTCATACAAATAAATTTTATATTTTCTGACAATGTACATATATTGTATATTAATAAAAATATAGTAACTCACCTTGTTTGAATACTTTTAGTGTCATCCGTGTTGTTCTGGAGGTCTTCAAAGGATCCCATATCAGTGCTTTCAACATTCAGTCTAGAAGATACAAGCATTGCTAGTTGTTAATTTGAAGCAAGACAATATAAAGGTTAAAAAGAGTAATATATGACAGTGTTTTCATATTTCTTTGTTACTTTGAAAAATTTGACTACAAAATATGATAATGTAGAGACAGAGTCATGGAAATTTTACCGGTGAAGAATGCATCTTTTACTATACATGCTCACAAATAAAGTTTTTAGTCTGCATATACTACTCTGATATGTTACTTGTAAAGTATTTTTGAAGTTGAGTTTTTACTTTTCCTGAAACATGTTGTCAACGAATATGCAATCCTAAAGATTAACCTAATGCATGTCATAAAATAATCTAGTCTTTATAGTAGATAAATGTTAATTCTCTGCTAATTGATTTTACGACTTGTACACTGGGTGTCGATTTAAAGTTTGTTTGATTGATTGATTGATTGCTTGATTGACGTTTAGTGGCTAATGTCTCATGCATTTACAGGATGAAAACAAATTCCCAATAAATACAATATGTAGGTCCTGTAATAGGGGTCCACTAGGATGGTCGTTTTTTGTCGTAAGATTTTTTGTGAAAAGAGCCCCAGTCTCGTAATATTTTCATGGGTAATTTTATATGATCATATGTAGAATGCATTGTTAACTTACATCTTGCTCTTTAGTTTTGAGAAGGAATGACCAACAGATGAGATGCTATGATAGAACTCAGATAATTCATCATCGTCCACCATGGGTTTTCTTAGGGCATCCAGTATATCATCCTCCTGCATCAAGGAAAACGTCATCACGTTTGTGCAGTAGTTCGATAGAAGGGATGTCGCATGCATCATTTCTTTTGTCTGTTTTCTAAGTTTACTGCAACAAATTATAACATAAATTTATGCATATGCACGCTATTGAGGTGGATCTAACGTTTTTAAAGCTTAACTATCTCGGTTGATGGAGGTGAATGTCTAAATACTATAAACGAAATAAACAATTATCTGCTTATGTCTGAAAACTATAAACAAAATAAATAATTGTCTGCTAATTTCCTGTTCATATTTCACACCTACATGATAATGATCAGTACATGTAAGTACATGTTTCTAGAGTACGATATTGTTGTTCAGGAGTGCTAAACATATGATCCAGCATCTATGAATAATAACATCTTTGAGCTATTTCGACTGATCATATTTTGTATTGCAGAATATATACATTGTATATATCATTAACAGTTATATATTGAACACCATACCTGAGTTCCATTTTCAAAGCTTGATTTTCACTTTTGATATACATGATGGAATCTTCTTCGTATTTAGTCAGCATTGTAGTCGCTGTCATGTTTGTTTTAATACTAATTCTTGATTGTGGTCTGGACGCTGGGTTGGTAGCCAAATCAACCATTGTCATTTCTCGATCATAGGCGGTTGCAAGTCTTAAATATTCAAGAATTGTATGCAATGATATATTTTGTGAACATATTACACATGATATTGTGCACATGCATGAAAGTTTGAGGAAACTAGTTTCTTTTAGCGAGACCGACAGAATATATGACTGTCCTAAGCATTGCGTATTTCATCTTATGTAAACCGTTCATATAACATGGCGGTAAGTGTTTATTGTTGTAGGAAGCCGGATAACCAGTCCATATTATTATTTGTTTAAAGAAATGAAAATATTCACTTTTCATTAAGGACCAGTCACTTTTTATAGATAGATTTTTACTAATAAGTCTACAGAATTAAACTGATTTAGAACATTACCTCTCTATTTCTTCTTGTGTTTTCACAGGCAAGGGAACATTGATACCAGTTCTGTCGAATAGATAATATAATAGATAAAAACGTATCGATATCATTGTGTATTTTATAAGTTAGTAAAAGACTGAGTTGACCGTAGCTATTTTGAAGGAGCGCATCGGATGACTGTAAGTTCAACGCTTTAACTACCGTACACAAACATGTGCATACAATTCTTATAGTTCCTGCATGCAGCAGAAGGGTTCGAGATATACAACTACTATAAAATAAACTAATAACTGTTTGCGTTGTGGAATGGTTAGTATCGCACGCATCCCTAAAATTTTTTAAACAGATACTGAATGAGAGGTTGTTTTATTTGTCTATTTATATCTATATTAGTGTACCTCGATTGCCATTGCGGGGTTATGAAGTATCTAGAAGCTTGTGTGTTTCTTCGTCTGAACAGGCCTCAGATAAACCTGTCTGTGTGGACATACAATGTAGTTGTATATTTGTATTTGAATTAGGCACTAATGGTTCGAACGTTTATATGTAGATTTATACAGGTATATGTTATTATTCTATAATGTTTAATAAAATTATCATTTTTTATTAAGATTATATAGGGTGAAATACAATTTAGCATTTTAAAAGAAAACTGGGCAATGCATTTTTTAAAATAAATAACTATAAAGAGCTTGCCTTTAAAACATGTATTAAGAAAGTTAAAAGAAGATTTTCAATCAGGTAAGCAATGTTGGTTTAATGTACTGCCAAATATGTAAATACGCTTACTTCAAATCAAAATAAAAGGGATACATTCTCCTTTTAATACATACATTCTCTGTGGTTTATTTTGTTTTTAATTTGTTGTGTTTTGGGTTTTACTTTTTAATTGGGGGATTTTTAAACTAATCAATTCTAAAACTTCCATTTACACTATGGAATGTAAGAAAACTACACATACATGTAGTATACACAAATACAGAAATTTCATTATGTATTTTAATTGGAAATTATGAATAGAAATGTTTCCGAACAAGTTGAACGCCAATTTTGTTACAATCGAGCAACTTCAACCCGAAACCAAACTTTACACTTTCACTGAACTGTGAAGCATCTCCAGTTCATTGATGTTTGCTCCTAACACCCGACTTCATTTGAGTTGAATTTATTTCAATTTATGAATGTTAAGTGCATTGTTTTGTTGATAGTTTTGTATTGTTTTATTTATAGCGTTCATACAACAAAGTTCAAGTGGGAATATCATTTGTGAATTTTTCTATCATAAACGGAATGTCCCAATACTACGTATAATTTATTTCATGCTATTTAAGGTTATTGTATTTAAACAAATGTTTAATGTTATACATTTTAAGTGTAAATTACATTTCCCCGTTACATGCAATGCATACTTACAACGCTTCTAAGTATTCCACTAATGATCTTAATTCGGTTTGAATAAGTTCTGAGTGTTGAAATTTTCTATCATCAGGAAAATCAGCTGTTGTCTTTATAGAAGGTAAATCCAAATTTTCATGAACTTTTATATATTTACAGAAAAGATGGATATTTTCTAGGTTGTGAGGTGCTGTAGAGATTTTATGTAGTGTACGGTTGGTGTCCGTCCAAACATCAATAGTCTTCTGAAGCTTTGTTACACTTTCGGCAGCTACTGTTTTATCTAATCGTGCCTGGTCTTCAATAGCGGCAACTATGGCAGAGGCCAGATTAGAGGCGAGGTTAGTGACCTGCCGTCTAGTATTATGTCTGTGTGTTGAACTGAACCTTTGTTTATCAAGTTCATGTCTCTGCCTTCTAGCCTTTTCTATCTTAACTTTGAGTGATGCGATTTTTTCATCTGTTTGCCTTCGTATCTCTTTAGCAGCGTTATCTACGTTGTATATCACGTGGTTTTTATGCTCAGAGAGATCGTTATCTAGGCATTCCTCACAAAGTTGGAGGGTGCAAGTAAAACAAAAACGGACGACTTCCTTCAAATGAGTCCGACATTGGAATGGTTTATTGTCGATGCTCTTTATCAAGTGTTCACTAGAACTATAGATAGTTGGAGGTGCTGCGGTAACTCCGCAGAAATGTTCACGCTTACAATCACTACATAAATACTGTAGACATTTCTTACATAGCTTTAAATATTTCCTTTCTTCACAACGATTACAAAACTGAATTATAACTGTCGCCATTTTTTGTTCAAAACAATCAACTGTTAACAAACGAACCATTAAATATAGTTTTAACATTAACAATTGATTTGAAACAGTTGAAGAGAAATTGTCAAACAATACCCCCAGATCAGGTATTTAATTGTCAAAAATTGTTTAAAGATTCATTATATGGAATATGTCATTACCGAAATTAAACTTGAAACATTTATTATGCATATAAGAATATTCTTACAATCGTTGAAAAAAATGAATGCAGTATTTTGAGAAGTATGGACCAATTTTTCAAAATAGAAATTACCAAATTTAATGAAATAATTATTTTTGAACGATTAAATGGTACTTGTATCATTGTTAAGTCTATTATAACTTGTATTGCATATAAGAATATTCATTTGAAAGCTTAACAATCTTCCACTTTCCTTTTCAGTTTTGAAACAAAAATATTTCATGCGTTATTATCTAAAATAGATAAAAGATTTCATGATAAACTTTTTCTTTGAGTGTACATGTACCTTTTATGTTGCAATGCTATTATTGTATCATTGCATGTACCTACACCAGTTTGCAGTTTGTTATGTATTTCAAATACATGTAGCTGACAATAAAATTAGTATCGTAATTTCAGTTCAAACGAGAAAACAACGATATTAGGTATAATAAGTATAAAATTAACAAACCAACCAAATGTTACGAATTTAACTGAAAAGTAGCAAACAGGTGTTTTGGGTGAAAACATGGCTATAGAAGAAGAAGATGATGCTTTATTTCCATCAAATGGGCTCACAAGGAGCATAATATAATATCATTATAATATTGTTTTTACAAATATAATAAACAATACAGTATACATAGTTACAAACACAAATAAGAAACAACAGTTTTCACATATTCGTATATATGAACCGCAAGTAAGACCCTTGCTTGAAGAGATATGAATCCTTCTGGTTTTACAGGATGCATTACTGTAACATTTGTAATCCACGGAAAAATCTATACATCAAATACGGATTGATTAATCAAAGTCTCTTGAAAGAAGAGTATCAGGCTATTCTAAAATCGTCCAACAACATACATGGGGATCTGTGGATGTAGGTTTCTGATGTACTCTTATCCATCCTTACTTTCAAGTGCATTGACAGTCCTATTTCCCGACCGACTGTTTATTGATCATAATGTGCAAGTAAATAGACAAAAACCATTGTGTTTCTTCATACGTACAGTAGGTGTGCTTCACTGTCTGAAGAAGTATTGAAAATAACCTTCAAGAAGAATATACTGCTGTAAGCCACTAATTATGCTTCTAATTTGTGTGTGTTTAGCTGTAGACATAAAGATCCGATTGTGCTGTCATACAGAAAGCAGGTGACCTGTTCGCACAATTACTGGGAAAGAAAAATAGTCTCAATGTAAACTCCGTGATATTTTTTATCATTATTCACTATTTCATTTCAATATCAAGACTACTAGTAATCTGAACTCGACATGTTATACAGACCATTGTCTATTTATTAACACGTTGTGTTGACTTCTATATGTTGTTTGATACACATGTACATGCATATCTTTTTGGGGTTTCTGTCTCAATGGCATAAACCAATCATCTCCTTTTATTTGTGTGGAGAAAAAATATTTTCCCTTTTTATATTTTATTAGGTGAATAGTAAGTAGACATTTTTGGTTGTTCTTGAAACACGGCTTATAGAAATCGGCATCACTTTCTAGAAACTTTAACAGTCATATATATATATATATACATACGCATTCTACAAAGTAATAGAAATTGGGAAAAAAAGTAATTTAATAATCGAAGATTTAACATATGCAAGTTTCCATGTTGTCCATGGCATTGTATGTTTTACATGTACTTGAATTTATCGTTTCTGAACGCCTTCTCCCTATATTCTTCCCTTTAATATCAAATTCACCTCGTAAAAGTTAATTCAGCAGACATCGAGTCTATCTCAATGTGACAGCACCCCTACGACAAAAAAAAACAAATAAAAGACAAAAGTCTAATTATCCTCAATGTTTACTTAGTTTATCCAAATGTATCAGTTCTTTACCTAATATTAAAACCTATTTAAATATCAAAAGTAAACCAAGAGCAACAAGATGCATTTTAGGCTCGATTTATGTCATGGTTATATTTTTTAAATATTTCTATCTAAAAATAATCTTTATCATTCCTAAAAAGGGAGAAAAGACACCAAGAGCACAAATAAATTATTATTAAAAATTATTATTCAGAAATAGTTAATGACTTACAATGTACAACCGATATCATAAAAAATTTGTAGTTTTTTATTGTTGATTGTTGATGTTTTTACGCCACTTTCAGCACTTTTGATTATATCGATGCGGCCAGTTTTTATTATCGGAAGAAGCCAGAGTGTCCGGAGAGAACCACCGACCTTCGGAAGGAAAACTGGCAATCCTAGTCGATTGTAATTGATGTCGAAAGCACCTAGGCCTGCTAATTATTTTTTATTGATCCATTGAAAATGAAGTTTAGCACCTTCATCCACAGGCACTTGTCTCAGAAAAAAAATCCTATATACCTTAATATAACACAAGGTACCTAACTCGCATTTTTGAAAAACATATATAGGAATCTTTGAGAGACAAGTGCCTGTGCCTTCAACTAAGCTATCTGCACTCTCCTATGACTACATGTCCCCACTTTTTAAAAACTGACAGATGTTTTTATGTTGAAGCTTTTGATTTGGTACGTATACATCTACATATGTATGGTGATTTTAAATACAAGTGATGTAAAAATGATTTCACACTTCAAGTGCTGGCCGTGGTAATAGACCTGAAACAGCAGTAATTTGTGGAGCATATTGTTATGTCAAATTGTATGTTAATTTGTTTTTTGAGAATCATGACAACACATGCAGTTAACATAGCAGGTAACATAATTGTATTCAGGACTTACAAACTAAACAATCCATTGGGGTCACATAATAAATAAGAAGATGTGGTATAAGTGCCAATGAGACAACTCTCCATCCCAGTCACAATGTATAAAAAGTACAAAAGTATGCCTGGCCTTCAATTTAATCATGTGCGTGGCCACTTCATGTCATCGAATTTTAAGGAAAGGGTAATCGATCGATGGTTTTCTTTATGACGGTCCTACGGTGAAAGGAATGGTACAAAATGTATGTAGAAAATGACAACTTCCAATTGCATGCAATATTTATTATTCAACACAGTTGAAAATTTATAAGAATTGTATCAAACTTGTAAGCCTGATCTCAGTTTTTTATGTGTAAGTATACAATTCACTGTTAAATATACTGTTTCTTCATAATCCTTCATAAAGTCTGTAGATGTCATCATGGTTGTAACAGTATCTGTGAAATATATAAAAACAAAACATTTATAACAAATATGATACATGTTTTTGATGCACCTCTATTTAATCAGAGTTTTACTTTTGCTACAGATATTATAGATAGACAAAACACGGGGATGTGTGCAGAAAACTTAACTCCTCGTACTTTTGTGCCTGTACCCATATCAAAAATACGACGATGTGGTACGATTGCTAATGAACCAACTCTCCACTAGAGACCAAATGACGTAGAAGTTTGCAAGTCGGGCTATCTGGACCATGTGTTGGTCAATGTTCTTCGTCTTTGTTGTGTGTGTTTGTTTGTTTGTTTTTCAAGAGTCAGGTGTATTTTTTTATAATCTAGACATTTCTCATAATCTCTGTTATCCTTTTTATGTGTTACGATAACATCAATGACTTTCTCAACCATATGGACACTGATTATTACAAAGATACGTTAAGTCAATCGTTAACTATATATATACACTGTATATACATGTAAATACCGATTAAACCACTTTTATAGGTGTATATGTACATGTATTGTTTACTTGTTAGATATCTAGATATCGCACATCCTGATAGTTCTAATATATCTAGGCTACTGCCTCAGACTTGTTAAATTTAAGCTAAACAAATTGTATAGACACCTGTTTGATGTTGAAGGTAGAACTAGTAATTTTACTGCTACATAAATGTAAATGTCTTTCTATTATTTGTGTCATTGGATTGCTGTCTCATTAACGAACATTCCCTATTTATAAAAAAAAACAGTCTATTAATAATTGAAAATGTTAAAATGTAAGAGATGTCAGCCATATACAGTAAATTAATCGACAACAAATGACAATTAAACCTGCTGCAATATATATGTTTCTCTAACATATATTTAAACATTCAGCACAAATAATAAAGGTACGAGAGAGAACTGGTGCTTTAATGTAAATCATTACATATATGTAACTATTGAAAAGAAAGGCTACGATGTATCAATTCATTACACAAAATCCTTACAAGCACTTGGAGAACCAAGAACATAAATACAGCGAGTTTATTGTTGTTCTTCATGTTTATTACAATAAATAGACCAATACGAGTTGCAATGGTTTTGCTACTACAGACAAACACGCTTATATAGTTAAAGAGAATCGTTTAAAATTACTCACCATTGCAGCTAGCTATAAATACTTGAATTCCAATGCTGTTATAATCTGTATATACCTAGAACATTCAGATACCATAAGCATTAGCATAATTCTCAACGTAATAACTGACTACTGTAAATTCAGAACTAATTGCAAGGTTTTTATTAATGCGAATAATGCGACTGGGTGACGTTCGCAATAATAAGAACTCGCATTCTGATTTCTGATACATTTATTCAGAATGCAGATTTTCCTGAAATCGCAATAAATAATCTCGCATTTTTGTCATCACTTCTTCAAAAATTGCAATAATAAATGCACGCAATAATATCTGAATTTTACAGTCTTTACAAAACTTTTAGGTATTACAGCTCTTTTCATAATCCTAGCAAGACAAAGGTTTGTTTGACATGCCTGCTTTGTTTGTACAAATGTTTGCTGAAGCATTGTAATTAAGATTGACATCTGCAAACAATATAAGTAGACAGAGTTAAACCTGTGTAAAGGTAAATTTGATTATTTGATAATGTACAGTCAAATTTAAATATAATGTATACAAGTTTAAATTCGCCTTTTTATATTGTTTTCAGATGTCAATCTTAATTACAATGCTTGAGCAAACATTGATACAAACAAGCCTTTGTCTTGCTAGCATTATGAAAAGATCTGTAAAGTTGTGTATAATGTACATGTATAACTAACTGAACCAATACACGTTATTAATAATGTAATCTATTAGATTTTCATTGTTAAATAAAACGAAACATATGGTCATATTAAGTCTTTAAGTTACACAATAAATACTCAAATGTTCAGTACTCTCCTGTTAACATATGTTTATTGGCTATAATATATAGTATAATGTATTTCATGTACATGTACCAAGTAGTACTTTAAAATAAAAATATCTATCTATAACAAATTTATAAGCTGTATTATATGATAGCTTTAACTGAACATATTAACATTGTGACTAACATTCATAATTAATAGAACACACAAGTACATACCCTTTTTAACGCCTTTATTCCAACAATATCGATAAAATTCACTCCAGAAAAATCAAGTATAACGATTTCTACACCATCAACAAATTTTTCTGACATCTTTGACTCTATTTGCATTGTTAGATCACAATTTTCCGTCAAATCCGTCTATGAATTAAAGTATAGAACATGTATATACACTGTAAGTACTGTAAGTAATGATTGAGCAAAATCCATACAAATGTTTAGCTGTAAAAGGCCACGACGTGACAAAATGTAAAACAATTAAAATATTCATCATAGGCACTCGAATCAAAATTGTTAAAAGGATAATTTTTTTTAAATCCTTATATTTGTTTAACATCGTTGTCTTTCAGGGAATTTGATGCCAATGGACGTTAGTGTTTGACATACAATGTATTATATAGATGTTGAACGATAATTGCATAAGGCATAACCCTTCAAGGTGTCATAGACTACGTTTCTTAAAAATCAAATTTTGACTTAGATAATAATTCGGTAATCATTGAAACGTGATAAATGAAATAAAATGAATTTTGATCACAAAAAATAAGTAAAATTATAGTAGACGCGTTTTTGCATGGTCATTATTAATATGTCTTTAAGAAACATGTTAAGCAAGAAGTAACTGTTACACATTAGCAATTGGAGCATTGAACAACGCATTAACCTTATTTTGTTGTTTCAATTTCTAATTTAAGATTTCTTAAACATTTCAAATTATTTTCAGTTATTTAATTTCTTCATGCTCCTCTATATACGATTTACAATTACAATAGTTTATACGTGCTGTCCCTCTGTTCTTATGTAGAAACCACTGTTATTGTAAGATCACATGAATAAGAGTATAAACATATCAGTCAAGTGAAAATAAGTGGAAATTAGAAGAAATTAAAGAAAATTTATTCTAAACATCGTAGAATAGAAAAAAAATGTGCATTCTCAAAACACCTGTGGTTTCATGTACGGACGAAACTGTTGACAGCATAAAGGTGCTTAAAATTGACTCTATATTGTGAGGGCAAAACACAAATATACCAAGATTCAGACAACATGTGACAAAGATAATGGATTTCAGTTAATAACTTGTTCCAATTTTGGTTCAGAGAACGAGCTGTGTCTGTTAAGGAAGTTTGAATTTATTCGAAAAATACCTTTATGGTCTAAATACTCATATACTAGTAGTATGGCCCGTTAATAACCAAACGAGTATATACTCATATGGTCTGACCGTACTCGTATGGTCGGACCATATGTATACTCATATGGTCATGACCATACGCGTACGGTACAAATACTCATATGGTCTGGAACATAGACACTTGTCTATTGTTGGAGACTTTTGTTAACCTTTACAAGACTGTCTGGTTTTGTTTTTCGTTAGTTTGGTGTCTCATTGATATATAAATAGCGTCTTGTTTTATTAGTAGACACAGTATAAATGTTATATCATAATAAATCACTGGATTTATATCAAAGGATACAACAATTACCGGGCTTATGTTTGTCTCCACTTGATTAAACTGTTTCTGTTTCTTCCTGGCCTTTACTGGATCAATACCAGTCAACTTGACCACACTCTTCACAAATATGTCGGCATTAGCAAAGTAAATAGGGGCTTGGAACTGAATTATTCTAACATTGTCTGGCGCAACAACCTGAAAAAGGGGTAGACGATTACTCATTGAGTTTGTTGACTTTGTAGGATAGTTTTCATTCTATCAATTTTGCTTTAATGAATGAACGACAACATTTATTCTCCTTACTTGATTCTGTATCTCACAGAATTAAGTTACATGTATATCATGTTCTTTACTTTACAATGATGTTTTGGAGACGCGAGTATAACAGCAAAATGGTGCAAATATGGTTTTAAACGTTTTGTATTATATAAAGTTTAAAATTTTTGATTTGTAATTTCACACATGTGGAACAGGATCTGCTACCCTTCCAGAGCACCTGAGATCACCCGGTTTTAGGTGGGGTTGCTCAGTCTTTAGTTTTTTATGTTATGTTTTGTAGGATGTTGTCTTTTGATCTCGTTTTTTGTATTGCCATAACATTGTCAGTTTTTTTGGGACTTTGAATATCCCTTTGGTATCTTCCGTCTCTCAGATACATGGTCTCTCTTCCATTTCCTCCACATTTTCTATCTCACTTATGCCGAAATATGCATATATTTTTTCAACGACTAAATGTCATCTGAATATCAGCTCGTACATGTATATTTCGTTATCATAAGCTATTTAAGAAAACCCAACTATGTCATTTTAATTTTTCATTCAAAATCTATAAATAGAATTTGGAAATAATATACCGCGATAAAACGGTCCTATACTAAGTTTTCAGTTTCCCAAGCAATACACGTCATATTTACATGTATGCATTGTCAAAAGTGTACGGATGAAATATAAAAAGACGAGTGTGTTCCATCGCCTATGTGTATTTAAAACTGGATGTTAAGCAAACAAACTGTTTGTTTGCTTAACATCCAGTTTAACATCAGTCAATTCTCTGTGTATTTATCATATTAGAAGTGATACTTACGGGATCATATCTTTCTACTGATTTTAACTGATTTGTTTTCCCAACAAATCCTAGTGTATATGACGAAGGACTGAAAATGAATACAACATAGTTTGTTCAAATTCATATCTTCACAAAGTGTGCTTGTGTAATCATTCATCTTGCAGCAAAAAAATAATTCTATATTTCGGCATAATACTTCAAACCTTGAACTTCTTTCTTTGGTCATATTTATAGAATTATCTTTGATCAAATAAAAATAATATATAATGTCAGAATGCCAAATAATTGTAATAGTTGTCATAACTATAAAAAGAGCTACATTATATTATTGTGCTTACGTATACTATACGGACTGTACAGTCCTATAATTTTATCTTTATCACTGACCTTTGTGTTCGTAATGATACAGTCAATAGAGAAAATATCAGACTTGAAGCTATGCCAATATCTACATCAAGAATGGATGAGGTCAGAAAGGTCACCATCCATATAACCTGCAGAAAAAAAGGTTTACAATAAAAACGTTTAGTATCTCATTCTCAACTACCCACCAGAGGCCACTTTTCAATGTCGTTCAATTAGCTATGATTTATTTCCTATTCCAACATGCAGAGCTATAAGTTTTTACTCAAATCTATACTTGACTTGGATATTTTTATTCACAGTCATGAGTTTGGCTGTATACCCTCAATCTTACATGTAATTAATGGATTATAGTTTGTTGCAATAATACAACTAACATTGATGGACGTGTAAAATCCTCAAGACTTTCATTTGTTATTCATTATGATAGACTTTGCAGTTACAAGACTATAATATTTCTTTATACACACCATTCTCCACATACCCTCCCTAATAGAGAAACTCGTGGCTAGATAGAAAATTTAAACACAAAAAAAATCTTAATGTAATAGCCATCTTCACGTGTATATTAACCTTCATGTTGTTCTCTAGACGTATAAACACACTTGAACCTGTTACGTTTGTTAAAGTTCAAATATCCTTGCTCGCATTAAAACTTTATATCACTGAATTCCGATTTTTTTAAAAACCACGACATGTACATCTGAGTTCATCTCTGGTTAAGTTAGATTTGTTTCTGAATACTTATCTTCTCTGTGTAGTATTCTTGGATTTCCATTAAAAACATCACTACTTCTGTTTGACATTGTCTTTACATTTGTCTCTTTTGTTTAGTCTATACTGTGTTCCTATTCATTTAACTCACAAACAATGTATTTGAATTAGCTGTACTTAAATTCTGATAATACAGATATTTTTTGGTTTGTGCAATATATACGATTGATTGATAGTTGTTGTTTGTTTACCTACCAGTTGCAAATGTTTTACATATATTCTAGATGAGAACACATTAACAGTAAATTAAATATGAAGGTTCTACATGAACACTTAGATTGTCACTTGAAAAAGATTGTATTTGTGATAAGGGCTGACATTGACCCTTGTGACAGGCCATATATAAACCCCTCAGAGAGTTCTTGCAAAGTTTCCTTAAGATTCATAGAACACTATATAAATATATTACAATTAACGTACCCATTCTTACCGGACGTGAATGCACATTTACACATCTGCATATATACATGTAGCTAAACGAACGTGTATGAGTATTTATACATCCTGCATAGCTAAACGAACGACACTGTTTATCATGGATTTTACTGCTGGACAAGAGTATACTTTTATAACAGTATCGTTTGGTTTCTATTATATTTGAAAGAGAGGCGGAAGATACCAAAGCGATATTCAAAATCACAGGTCGATAAAAAACTGACAACGCCTTGGCAAAAAAAAACAAAGAATGTGTCCATAGTACACGGATGCCCCACTCGCACTATCATTTTCTATGTTCAGTGGACCATGATATTGGGGTAAAAACTCTAATTTGGCATTAACATATAAAGATCATATCATAGGGCACATGTGTACTAAGTTTCAAGTTGATTGGACTTCAACTTCATCAAAAACTACCTTGACCAAAAACTTTAACCAAAAACATTAACCTGTAGCGTGACAGACGGACGGACGGACGGACGGACGCACTGACCGAAAACATAATGCCCCCAAGTGGGGCATGAAAACGACCAAAGGACAAACAACATTATACAAAACACAACTTGGCAAAACAAAACCCACCAAATGTCAGGGGTGATATCAGGACTGAGGTGCTCCAGAAAGGTAAACAGATCATCCTGCTCCATATTTGGCACCCGTCGAGTTCATCATGAAAGAGCAAACTCAGTGATATCTACTTCGGTGATGTCACATTCGAGGGAAAAAGAAGCGGGATTGTTGTAACAATTGGAATATTTGACTTGACTATTCTTATATTAGAGTCTTAAACATTTCGTATACACGTTTTAGTTTCTACTTACAAAATCAAACTTTGATGTGCGCCACAGTGATGGTACCTCTAATATTTGAAGATACATCGTTCGTAGGTTTATAATTATTACTGCTGACAAAACACACTGTAAAATGAACTCTCATTTTTTTACAAAATTAATAAAAACTTCGGATTTAGGTTTTCCATTCCTTTTTGTAAACCCTTATAATACTATTAATATCGTATGGTGTAGTTTATTTGTTTGTCTGATTCTAATAAAATATTATCATAAATAAATGAGGAAAGAAAAATGATTTCAAGTTTAAAATATTGAAATGAACAAAATTAAATATAAACTATAATAGTTACTCTAAAGTATAAAAGACAGTTAAGAAAGTTAAAATATAATAGAAGTTAAAAACAATAAAATGACTGTGTAATGTTTTCAAGATAAGTGACGACCTTGCTAGAAAAAAAGACTTAATCCAGAAATTAATGTATTACTTATAATAAGCATCCTACCTTTGGTAATGAGTAAAACAATGGTCCAATTGCTAATATCATGATTATGACAATAACACATCCCACTAAACAGGCGATCTATAAAATATTATCTAGAAATTATTTTTGCAATGAAAGATACGCTTTTGGCTACATATCTTTTTGATACTCAATATTGATTTTTATTCAAATCATGCACATTTAATTATTACTATATGGAAACAAATGTTAATTATATCTGTATATAGATTGCAACGTGGATAGCAAAATACATTTAATGTAAAAGCGTTTATTAATACGTGCACATAAATGAATGATGGTATCATAAATGTCTTTTCCTCTACGAAATTAATCAACAATAATTTAATAAAGTTGTATAGATTTGAATAATATACCTTATCTAAAGCTGTCTAATTCGTTAAACTCTAACAATACATATTGTTAAAATCAACTATTTAATATTTCTTATCCGGAAACTTAGCATTGGTAAAAGTGTTCCAAAGAACGCGCAGTATGCAGCCCGAGTTTCTCTTGTAAAGGCGGGTAACATGAATTGAGTTTAATATACTAGGATAAAAGAGAGTCAATGTCCTCACCACTATGAAGCACTATTCTTATCCTCCCCAGTTGTCAGGAGATAAGTATGTTAAAGTCTATGAAGGCTCTTAAATTCCCTAACATCGAGGGAAACATATATATAGCGTAAAACTAATTGTTAGAACATTTTAAAGTATGTTAAAAAATAATGGTCAGGTGCTAAGAAAGATTTTGTTGATGTGACTTCTATAATGTACTTCTACGTTAGATTTGAACACTCCATACTAAACTCAAAAGAAAGAAATATCATTGTGTAAGTGTACCTGGGATTTACCGTTCGTACCATCTAGTACCATAGTTCTTGATAATGACCCAGCATTGATGTATCCAGAGAAAATTGAACATACAACGCTCCCTGCTCCACTAGCAACCAACTCCTATTGAAATAATTATGTGTCACTTAACTTTCTCAATATCTGTAATTTATTAGCTTTTTTAGTATAAATGAACAAATTTACTGATAATTAAGTATCATTACAAACACTATTTTCATAATTTCGAATCATTATATTCTAAACAGGTAAGTAACTGCCTTCAATGCTTAAAATTTTATGAAGCGGAAGTTTATGAAATTTATAAATTTCAGTGTTAATTTTCAGTATTAATTCGTTGCAAATACAATGAATCGCATGCGAGTGTCTCATACTCATTCCCCAGTATGTGTGGTACATTGTAGATTTAGACATGTTGTTTTTAAATTACTAAGCTGTAGCAGGAACGGGCACAAGATAAAGAGGTTTTTGAAGGTCATAGAAGACTAGTTTTTTCATTTTGTTACAGATCAATTGTTTGGAGGAAAAACATGTCCGTCTGGTGTCTTCTTTGATTTTGATTGGCCATCATTCAAAACGTCATCTGTCTCTGGAATAATACTATACCAATTTGATTAAAATACAGATCTATCGGAACTCGCTTACTTGTCGAATGATAAAACAAATACATTTTCTATGTTCGTGATCCAGACTCAAATGAGCGACTAAAACCTACCTGATTAGGATCAATTTCATAATTATGTTTCCTGGCCAGAAGTCTAGCGCCAGATACCGAATGGGTGAAGGCCACGATTCCTATAATGAAGGCGTCAGCTACATACCCTGTAGCCAAAACAGGGTTAGGTAAAACTGGTGATGGCAACCTGAAATATTCACATGGTCCAGATTGTTTAAATTAGGCATTTGTAGTCAGCATAAAACTAAGGTACATATCTTTTTAAGCTATTTTTTAATAACTTATTAAGTAATTTTGGAATTCATTAATTATATATAAGAAGATGTGGTATGAGTGCATATGAGACAACTCTCCATCCAAGTCAAAATTTATAAAAGTAAACCATTATATAGGTCAAAGTACGGTCTTCAACACGGAGCCTTGGCTCACACCGAAAAGCAAGCTACACATGTATAAAAAACGAGAAACGAGAAACACTTATGAACCACATCAACAAACGACAACTACTGAACCTCAGATTCCTGACTTAGGACGGGTGCAAACAATTAAGTACATTTTGATATTTTTTAATGTGCTTTTATTTTCAAATAAAGATTAAAATGTCTGAAGATTACCATGGATATTATACTAAAACTCAGTGGAGAGATGTTTATTTACACAGTTCTTGTCCTTTTTACTTTAATTTCAAATATAATGTATTGACCAAAACAGTTTAGAAGTTATTTACAATAATGATACAAAGTAATAAAATAAATATTTATATTATCGCCAATTTGTATCGTATTGGCTAAATACTACTATTCATTCTAAAATTGATAAGCAGGGATACAGTTTGCACTACCTTGGTGTTTTTTGCATTGCACCCTTGGTGATTTCAGGTGTTCCGGAAGGATAATTAGATCATGTTCCACTTGTTGCACCTGTCATGTTGCCGAGTCGTGTTAATAAGATGAAAAATTAAAGTAATGACTGATTTGAAATCGATCTTCTTTTTTACTCTAGTCCCGAATGGTAAGCCGCCCGACGATAGCATGCTAAACAAACTGTACATTACCCTGCTGGGATGTCTTTTAAAATGTTGATGTTAAACCTCTGATGGAACTTGGCAAAATGAGCTATGACAGTTGCAATGGAAATCTTTAAAAGAAGAACCATTTATAATTATACTATCTTAATTGTTTATTCATTTTTATTTGATACAAAACTAAAGGTTCAAACCTCATATTTAGAGAAAATATAAGTGCTTTGAAGTACATGGATCATGTTTTGATTTAAGAAAATCCTTCAGATTTGTTTTGTGTCGTTGGGTTGCAGTCTAATCAATATATACCCACCATATTTGTTTATTCATACATTAGTGTAATTGTATGTTAACATATGATTTAAAGTAGCTGTAAAACATCTGATTTTCTTACATTCACCAATGATGCATCCATTTTTTAACTGTGCGACTCAGCATTATATAACCAATAGAGTGGTTAATGTTAATTATTATTAATTTAACTTAATACAATTGATTCAATTATTCCATCTTCTGTTATACTTACAATGATGAGTTCTATAGGAATGGGCATCTTCAGTTTGGCCTTAAATCTCATATTAATTTGAACTTTAACGAGGTAAAGAATGATAAAACAAATCACAGTGCTAATGAGTGTGGCGAAGTTAGTGGATGGTATGTTGTAACAAACATCTCTCCAGGTCTGAAAAATAGGATATAATAAAGTACAGGTAATTACAATGATCATTAAATAGTTCGATTTAAAACTCTGTTTCATTGTAATTTCCAGATTAATACGTATTATGTGGAACGGGGACCAAATTTTCCCCCATTACTTCAATGAAATTTTATCCAAATTGAGGGGAAGAATTTTTATTCCCTATATTAGACTGCAAAATTTAAATTACTTTCTCATACTTCATGGCTTATGGGAGAATTTTTGGAAGGTCATGACCGGCATTTAAGAGAGCAGTACTGTTTTGAGTATTAATAGGGTCATTTTATTAACTTCCTGATTAAAATCGAAAATAAAATTTGGACCATTTACTCAGACAATCGTCCACCCTATACATTTCAGAATCACTGAAAATTTACAGAAGTTGAAAGTTTAATGAATACCCTTTATCATGTTTATATATACTACAAATTTAAGCATCTTTACATATTTTTCATCTCGGTACAATATCCCATTTAAAAGATGGTAGATTTATTAAGAGACTTCATTCGTGGGTAATGGACTGGTATCCTGTAATTGGGATCCTATTCCATGTATACGCAGCTTGAATACAACACTGAAAGGTATATAATAATGATCTGTCGTAACCAGAATCCATTTCGCTTTTCATCGGTTGTGACATTACCGATTACAACTTCTACCAGATTTTAACGTGCATGCGGGTGTCACTTATGGAGAAGGAACTGTTTTCCTTCCCAACATCCCAAGGGTTTGTGTTGCTAAATCTTTTAAACTTTTCATCGTAATGATCTGTAATTGTTGTTTGTCTTTTCCTCATTTTTCTTTGGTCATTGTATTGTCTGTTTCTATTGGTCATTGTATTATCTGTTTTTATTGGAATTATGGTTTTTGATTGCCCCTTGATTTCACTGCTCAAACCCGAAGAAAAATGGACAAGGTTGAGTTATGCGTATAATATTTATATGAATGTCCTCGCTTTTCCGTGCAAAGCAGGTTATATATTTAAGCGAAACTTGTGATCTTTATCTAATCCTTATATAATTTTCCTTATATAATCGACAAAAAAATCAGTTTTAATGCTACAGGCATGAAGAAAAAATAACTTAGAATAAGAGCGGTATTCATAAGAACGAACCGACGGACATGGGTGACACTACAATGACGACCCATTAAAGGGGCATTAGCTGTAAAATTCATGTTCACCAATTTGACTCAAATTCTCATATTTTATTTATAACATACTAAAAAGTAAAATAACAAAAATACCGAACTCCAAGTAAAATTCAAATCGGAAAGTCTCTTATAAAATGGCAATTTCAAAAGATCAAACACATCAAACGAATGGAAAACAACTGTCATATTCCTGACTTGGTACAGGCATTTCCTTATGTAGAAAATGGTGGATTAAACCTGGTTTTATAGCTAGCTAACCTCCCACTTGTATGACAGTCGCATAAAATTCCATTATATTGAGAACAATGTGTGAACAAAACAAACAGACATAATAGGTAAAAATGTCAAAAATAGGGGTACAGCAGTCAACATTGTGTTATAATCTTAAACACTATAAAAAAACAAATATGCTAACAAAGAAAAACAAAATGGCATATAGACATAGCACAAAAGCAAAAATGAAACACAAAAATACAAAAAATATAAAACGTATATCCAAATTACAATAAGTCTGAAATAAACAATTAACAATGTATGGACTCGATAATTTATATCAGCATTTCGTGTGTATTTTAGTATAGACTCCATCTAATTAACAATCGAGATGACCTCCAAAAACTGCCGACGAATACATAACCCGATATAAACATAAACATAAATATAAATAGATAGCGCCCTCGTGCACTTGGACTTTTCTAGGTCTGTTTGATTTCATGATATAGGTTAAAAAAATAAGTTAATCATCGTTTTCACCTGCATAAGAATGATTTGTTGTGGATCGAATCAGTCAACGAAATGGTTCACCTTTAATTGTTTCACTTTCAATGTTGACAATCTTTTACTTTTAATGGCTGAACACGACTAATACATACGTAACCAATCTCTAACTAATGGGTTGAATTAACGGTCACATGAATACGGATTCGAATTATTCCCTTGCAAGTGAATCATTCATCAGCGATGTTTCTTAGCTTATTTTGAGAAAATTGAACTAAACTGGCTGCTTAAAGCGAATTATTATTTCACTATTTCACTTTCATTTATCATGTTAATTATTGAACAAAAAACAAAATCATATTTTATTTTTTTTATATCTCGTAGCTATTGCCCCCCTTTAACTGAGCTGTATGGGCATGAAAAGGTATTAAATTTTGGAACCCTACCTTTATCACCTTGAATATGCCATTATGTTGAGGCACAGAGATGCCAAAAATATGTTTTGCCTGACTCGTTGTGATGTGTATTGCCACTGCTGCCGTAAATCCACTAACCAACTGCTCGGACATGTAAGTCGAAATCAACCCAAACTTTAATTTACCCAATAAAATCTGAAAAAAATAATATTTGAATACTGGTATACATTTGATTTCATTTGATTTTTTTTTATGTAGCAGAACAATTTTCACATTCTTGTAATAACTGAATAAATCAACAGTTGCTTTATATGCAATAATTCACCAATATAAAAATAAGGAGATTTGGTATGATTGCCAATGTGACAACTATCCACCAAAGTTCAAATAAAGAGGATGTAAGCAATTAAAGGCAACCGTACGGCCTTTAACAATGAGAAAAACTCATACCGTATAGTCGGATATAAAAGGCACCGACATGAAAAATATGAAACAATTCAATTGAGAAGACTAATGGCCTAATTTATAACGTAACAATTTACGAAAAACACATTATTTAACTGGTTAGATATAAAAGGTATTATTATAAAGTGCATATAAACATATAAACAGTAAAAGGTGTAAGTTATGTTGTGTGTACTATTATTTGTCTGACTTTTCTTCGTTTTTCGTTTTTTGCCATGGCATTGTCAGTTTGTTTTCGCCTTATGAGTTGAATATCCCATTGGTATCTTTCGCTTCTCTTTTAAGTAAATAGCGTTAAAAAAAAGTAATAAACATCATATTGTTACCATAATTAGCCCAGACACGAATGATACTGACGTAGCTATCTCTATTTTTCGTTTATTAACAATCTCATCTGTTGAAGTATTTGTTGAGTTTTCTGTGATTACATACAGATTGTTTTCTTGCATTGCAACATCAATCACTGAAGCCATCATCAGACTAACTACGGCTACTGCTCCTAATAACAAAATAAATTACATTTATCACTATCAAACTGGCTCCGACTACTGCACATTATAACAAAATTAATAACATATGTCAGCATCAAACTGAATCCAGTTACTGCACAGAATAACATAATTTATCTCATACATATATGTCAACATCAATCTGGCTGTAGCTACTGCAACCAAAGACAAAAAAAAAACTCAAAATACTCCGGCTACTGCACATTAACACAGTATTGATAACATATATGAACACCACTCTTGACTCCGGCTACTGCTAATTGTTATCTCAATTAACTGCCGCTATTGCAACACAAATTTTACCGACTGATTAAGACTGACTATATGTATCGATCTTAGCATTTCAATAATAGGTATTAATAGCTATATATATATATATGCAAATCTCATACCTGAATTTTTAAGAAATCTCCAAAAGTTGATTCCAGAAAGAAATATTATTGTTAAAGTTTGACTTCCGTCTGACAGTCAAGCGCATGCAGAAAGCGGGTGCATTAAATCGATTATACGGGATGTATATATATATACGCAGAACAGTTCTAATGTGTAACTGTTAAATATGATTGTCCTTACCTACAGAGAGATGTCTTGATGATCCGAAGAAAAAGTATGTCAAAGGACCAAAGAAGGCAGTGTACATTCCACATATCGGTGGCAATGTTGTCAACAAACCAAATGCCATGCCTGTAATAAAAAGAAGGCAGTGTACAATCCACATACCGGTGGCAGTGTTATCAACAAACCAAATGCCATGCCTGTAATGTCATGCCTGTAATAAAAAGAGAAGGCAGTGAACATTCCACATATCGGTGGCAGTGTTATCGACAAACCAAATATCATGCCTGTAATAAAAAAAGGAAGACAGTGTACATTCCACATATCGGTGTCAGTGTTGTCAACAAACCAAATGCCATGTCTGTAATAAAAAAAAAGACGGCATTGTACATTCCACATATCGGTGGCAATGTTATCAACAAACCAAATACCATGCATGTAATAAAAAGGAAGACAGTGGTACATTCCTCATATCGATGGCAGTGTTTTCACAATCCAAAGCCGGGTCACGCCTGAAATAGTACAATGTTATTAAGTTTCATATTTTACATTGTAGAAAGAGCAATAAGGTCATTCTGTATGTTGTGGTTTACAACTAACACGGGCTTTTAAGTCTAGATTTAATTGCATTTTGAAAACATAAAAGACAAGTTTGTTTTAATGGGTGAATTTCCAACAGCTTGTTAAAACATTTATTAATCTCCATAATTTATCAGCATCAGTTATTGATCATTTTGATTTAAATTTGCCGAGTAGCTCGGACGTAATATTGTATTATACATCAAACAAAGATATAATATTTGACAGGGACATAAGCAGGCGGCGAGCGTCTCTATCTAACATTCTATAATGAAGACTAAATTTTGTAAAAGACGTCATAAATAATGGAGTAAAAAACAATTTTTACTTTCTGTATTGTTGAATTTGTATTTACTGATTTAACCGACGTGTATTAGTTACCATCGTTTGGGGTCCGTTGTCTGTTTACAGTTAAACATAAAAGTAAAGAGCACCCATGGACATACGGTCTTTGTATAACAAATTTCGATGCTTGACTTTAGCATTATAAGCCATAATATATAATTATAAAGAGGCGAAATGCACCAAAAAAAATTTCAAAATTGTACTCTAGTAGATATTTCGTGACACATTATTAGTATCAATATTGTTCCTAAAATCATATTTATGCATCTAGTCTAAAGAAGAAACATAAAATCTCCAAATTTCGCTTTATTAAGGAACATTACCTTCGAAATACAAAGCTGATATATTTCAAATTAAAAGTCGATTTTGTTTAGAATATATATGAAGTGTTCAAAATAGAAATAAGAAGATGTGGTATGAGTGCCAATGAGACAACTCTCCATCCAAATCACAACGTGTAAAAAATATTTAAAAAGTATTGTTTAATTATATAATTTTAAACATTAATGTTTTGCTATCAGGCGAGTATCCGTTAGGCATAACTCTGGAACAGCAAATTTGGCAAATGTCTAACGTTAAATTTTAGTTTGACTGTTATTTTGTATACTGTACCCAAAATAAATAACAAATTTGATGTCAAAGAATGATATTCAAGAAACACGTTTTTTGCGCATAGTGGTCAAATACATGTAATTGCTCACTACCACCTAGTCGACACCGCTGCTGGTAATCTATTTAAAAGTAAGCAACTGTTTTGTCGATGCATATCAACTGTCAAGATGAAGAACAGGAATAAAAGCCCTGTTCATTGATAATTTTCTATGTTTTCTATGTATTGTGTACGATTTTGTCCCATGTACATTTACTCCATATCCTTTCATTTTCTATTGATTCTAGAGTTTGTCTCTAGTGCTGTGTGGAGGCAGTAGAACGTTTCCCCGTGCTTGAGGTGTAATCTCTTATAATATTTACAGTTATGGTGTGCTTGTTCATGTCAGAATTTCTCATATCAATACACCGTCAAAATTTCATGTTTGGTTAAATTTCTTCAAAATACTGTTCTGGTCATCTGTTTTGTATATTGCCCTTTCATACTATTTCAAATTGCTAGGTTTTCTTACATATATTTCGATGTGCCCCGTGCTGTCTATCATTTGGTTTTTTTTAGTTTTATATGTATTGTCTATAATTTGTTGTTTCGAAATTATTGGTCTTTTGTTGGGCAATGTATGACAAATATATGATGAAAAACCTCGCCCGTAATTATAAATTATGTAATTCATTGACCGCTCCTGTCATGTGTAACACCAAGGCATATTTTAGCGGCGATCGATGTCTTTCAAAATTAATTCACTGCACTTTTCTTGTATCCCTGGTGCTTTCGACTGGAGAACCGTCGTACACAAGCATCGCACAAGTTGGCACTCCTGGCGGGTGGGGAGCAAGAAGGTGAACTATGGTTTATTTTTATCAATAGTACCGCTTAAGTCGACGCTAGGGGCCGTCTTGACATTGTTGTAGGGTATGAATTATTCGTTCATTGTTGAAGACCCTACATCAACTGTCAAGATCAAGAACAGGAATAAAAGCCCTGTTCATTGATAATTTTCTATTTTTTCTATGTATTGTGTGCGATTTTGTCCCATGTACATTTACTCCATATCCTTTCATTTTCTATATAAAGTGGATGGCCAAAAGTTATATTCGTACAAAGTGTAATTATAAATAAGAAGATGTGGTATGAGTGCCAATGAGACAACTCTCCATCCAAGTCACAATGTATAAAAAGTTAACAATTATAGGTCAAAGTACGGCCTTCAACATGGAGCCTTGGCTCACACCGAACAGCAAGCTATAAAGGGCCCCAAAATGACTAGTGTAAAACAATTCAAACAGGAAAACCAACGGTCCAATCTATATAAAAGACGAGAAACACTTATGAACCACACCAACAAACGACAACCACTGAACAACAGGCTCCTGACTTAGGACAGGTGCATAAAAATGCATCGGGTTTAAACTTTTAACAGGCGCCAACCCTCACCCTAACCTGAGACAGTAGTGTAACATTACAACATAATAAGATTTCCATCATGTTAATTTGCTCGTGCAACTTTTAAAAAGAGGCAAACAAACACGAGATCATACTTTCTTTTTTCCTTGATCATGCATCTATTCCTCCCCTCTTTTACGACCCAAAATATACAATATACATGTAATACCGTTTCTGTACAATGTGGTTAACTGACATACCTTGAGGTATCTGCATGATGCCGACTGTAATTCCAGAGAGAATATCACTCACTAAGTATTTCTGTAAGTTATATTTTCTAAGGTTCCGTATTATAGGCACATTAGAAAACAAACATGACTTCATGTAATTTATTGATGAGTATTTCTTAGCATATTTTTTAATTCTGTCGCAAATCTTTTCGTCTGTTTTCTGTTTATAATATTTAGCATTAAAATCTACAACTCTGTGTAACCCGGTGTCTTCATTTGCTGTTATTTCCAGGATTTCTGTTTCAGGCTCTGCCATTATGTCAGTGCATAAAAATTATGTAGTTTAGATCTCCACGTGTTTTATACACAATAATCCATACACACATCAACGCACATCAACACACAAGTGTTTTGGATCAGTAATCTGCTAAAAATGCAATTTAAATGTCGTGAATGTGTAGTATGTGAAACGTCGTTCTTGCAGTGTCAGTTGTTTTGTCAGAGATATATTGCAGATATTGAATTCGTTTATAGTTCGGTCTAATTAATGCACCAAACGCATTTGTTTTGTTTCACTCATTTGTTTATAAAGCCATGAAAGCATATCATATTTAAAAGAGGTAAGAATCTAATATCTTTATTTACTTATTGACAATATATTACTTCTATTTCGTCCAGGGATATGAAGAAATAGTTAATTACCCTTTTGTTTGTAATATTGAGAGGCTTTTTATAGGGTGTTACAATGTACTTGTACATGTAAATCTACTTGGAGTTTTTCATAATTTTGATATAACCTAATTAAGGTCTTTCCTTTTCCAAAACCTCCGTAACCGTAAGCCATGTTGCTTTCAGGTTCACACTATGTATCGGTGTCACAAACACCTATCCGGAACTCACCCTGTGAGTCGTAAAATTTTGTCGGTCCAGAGTTATCCCTCCGAAACCTAAAAACCTTGTTATCATTCAAACACCGTAACCGTAATAGGTAGAAAAAAAGCAAAGGGTGAAATTTGTTCAGGACCAGACCCCGGTTCTTCGTTACATTTGGATCGAAAAGATTCAACGACTCATTGGTAGGGTTATGCCCCTTTGAAAATTAACCGGTGTCGGTTGGCCACCAAAACTCAGAAACCGTAAGTCGTAGCCACCTAGGATCTTCACCAATGATCATCAATTCATGTGACTTTGAAAATGCCTCAAGGTCAAATTTGTATGTCGACCTTGACCTTTGACCTTACACCTTGTTATGGGATAATCTCAGAAACCATTATACTTACAGAAGTTTTGAATAGTGGAAAATGTTTGGGTCATTAAGGCGCAACTTTGTTACATTTTGACCGAAGAGATTTGACCTTTCTGTAAGGGGCATAACCCCTGTTTTAGGTTTATGAAAAGACAAAATCAGCTTTTACTATATAACCAAAGGTCCTAGATCCATGGGGACTTCAACAATGACATTTGGGACCAATGACCTTGCCAAAGGTCACAAGGTCAAAGGTCAAGGTCATATCCCAGAGAGCGAATTATGTGTTTTTGACCTTATTTAAGGGATTTTTAGTGTCTTTTAAAGCTTTTTAAGGTTGACCTTGACCTTTGACCTTACAGCTTTTTTATTGGATATCTCAAAAACGGTTAATCTTACAGAAATAGTAAATAGTGAAAAATGTTTGGGTCATAAAGTCGCAACTTTTTTTACATTTGATCAAAGAGATTTGACCTTTCTGTAAGGGGCATAACCCCTGTTTTAGGTTTCTGAAAAGGCAATCGCAGCTTTTACTATATAACCAAAGGTCCTAGCCCCATGGGGTCAACAGCAATGACATAAGGGACCAATGACTTTGAGAAAGGTCACAAGGTCAAAGGTCAAGGTCATGTCCCAGAAAGCGAATTAAGTGTTTTTAACCTTATATAAAGGATTTTTAGTGTTTTCAAGCTTTTTAAGTTTGACCTTGACCTTTGACCTTACAACTTTTTATTGGATATCTCAAAAACGATTATACTTAAAAAAAAAAGTAAATAGTGAAAAATGTTTAGGTGACTAAGGCGCAACTTTTTTATATTTGACAGAAGAGATTTTACCTGTCCGTAAGGGGCATAACCCCTATTAACTGTTTCTGAAAAGACAAAATTAGCCTTAACTCTTGAACCAAAGGGTCTAGACCCATGGGGTCTTTTATACTGACATTGTGGACCAAATACCTTGACAAAGGTCAAAAGTCAAGGTCATTTTGCATATAGCGGATTATGTGTTTTTTGTCATATTTTAAGGGTTGTATGTGGTTTTTTTTAGCTTTTCAATGCATTCTACGTCTATTGAAACATATATTTTACATTACGAAAAGGAAAGACCTCTCAATTGTTCAAGAACAATTGACATTTTAATTATATAATGTCATTCTTATTTATTTATTTATTTATTTATTTATTTACAAGTTTTATCGTTTATATAAATATACATTGTTGATTTCCATTGCCTAATGCAATGTAGTCGTACATATACTAATAATTTTGCAGCTTATTTAATAGTTTTAGGTAAATAAATTGAAGAAAAACTACAGTTTCTTATTGGTGCATTCTGAATAAAATTCGGATCTATCATAACTTTCATTCGTATACACCTCTATGTCTTGTATTGTTCTGGATATGTGGTAGAGCTATATTTTTATGTTTTACATTAATTAAGGTTTTATGTTATTAGAATATATACTTGATATATTCTATTTACAGTTATTATAATTTGTAGTCTGCTAGTTTATTCAGGTAGAACATTACCTATTGATTAATATCTTTTCAATTGTTTTAGGAGGGAATTGTATGATTTAGGAGGGAATCTTTTGTTTAACTTTTCTTTGTTTTGGACAGTTGGCTAAAGTCTTGATATGAAGTGGTAGCCATTTTCTTCAGCTCATTTGGAAGTTGTTATATCTTTACTTTTGAAATAGTCTAGGACTATCATATTCTTATATAAGGTCAGTTTATTACTAATTTATTCATTACATTAACATTGCAGTTTTTTTATCTAAGAGTGTGTGATATATAAGTGTAGAATTGAATAAGTAGGTGTCAGTATTATGAAAGGTGTATGATTTAAATTGATTAAAAAGTAAATATATGTGTAAACTATTCACGATAACATATAAAGTAATAAAGGTAAACTTGATAATATAGTTTTATTTGTAAGATTTAGTAAAATATATAAAATCTGCATAAAACTGATAAAAGTATAATTTATACTTAAATTTCTAGTAACAGTAATATATAATCTATTTTAACAGTTTGTATGAGTGAGCGTTAAAAGATTTTATACTTCTATAAAGTTAATACAAGTAAATATTTGATTAACCAGATTTAAGGGGAGATAATTCTGTTTAATCTAGCAGTATTGCATAAGGTTTTTATAATTTTAATATTTTGTCTTCAGGTATTACATATATTGTAAAGAATGTAAACTGATTCAAACCAATCAGTTGGTGAAGCAAAGACCTTTGCACTACATCTGAGGTATGTTTATATGTATACAGTTTGTAATGTTCATGTTATTTTTATGTTGCTTTGCTTAAATGTATTATCTGCTTTGTGTAACCGTTGCCAATACGTAATGTCTTGTTTGCACTTACAATTGCGTTGTATTATTATGTTTAACTAACTATTTCTGGTATGATACTACAAGCGTAGCTATGTATTTAGCTGTGAACTTAGTCCGTCGTTGCATATTTTTCCATGCACGAAATACAGAGAAATATATTATGTAATCATTTAATACAGAATTCGAAATGGTGTAATATCGTTTTGTGTAGCTTGTAAAACTATTATTTTAAAGAGCAAAAGAAATCTACACAGTTTTCTTGTATGCATATAGATATATTGATTTTATAGTAATTGATTATTACCGATTGAATTGTATAAGAATTATATTTGTTATTATTTCAGGGTCACTTTTCACTTAGAATATTTACATCAATTCTGATGAAATAAAAGAACCATAGACCTATACAACGTGTTTGTGTTTTATTTGAATACAAGGTAAACACGACTACAGATATAATATTCAATTTCATGTATGATAGTGTTTTGAACAAAACGATTTGTTACATATACTGCACAAAATAGGTTATCAGCTAAACTTTTATATTCTCATATGCTGTTTATTGATATCTTTAGAATTTTTATGAGCATGTGTTATTTCTTCGAAATTTCACCATGTTCTGTGAAAAAGTTAGGTTTTTATTATGTTTTCCATTAAATTGTTTTGTTTTTTTTTATAGTATCAGCAAATGTAATCTTACTCTCAAGCATACGAATTCATTTCATCTCTATGGGTAGCAGATTCTGCTGAACAAATATTTTTGGTTCTAAAAAATATGGGATGCCTATATAAATTTTTCAATACCTTTTGTGGTTGAGATGTTGTTTCATACAATTAACAACTTTCTTTTTTGTATACAGAATATTTTAAAAATGCGTTGGTGGTTAATTAAAAAAAATATGGAAATAGCATCTTCTTCTTTGCATGATGCTGATATGACCTTATAAAGTTCTAGGATGAAGGGTGAAGGTTTGGTACCATTAAAACGTTTAAACCCGCTGCAATTGTTTGCACCTGTCCTAAGTAAGGATTCTGATGTTCAGTAGTTGTCGTTTGTTGATGTGGTTCATAAGTGTTTCTCGTTTTTTATATAGATTAGACCGTTGGTTTTCCCGTTTGAATGGTTTTACACTAGTAATTTTTGGGGCCCTTTATAGCTTGCTGTTCGGTGTGAGCCAAGGCTCCGTGTTGAAGACCGTACTTTGACCTATAATGGTTTACTTTTATAAATTTTGACTTGGATGGAGAGTTGTCTCATTGGCACTCATACCACATCTTCTTATATCTATATTGAACACACCAGCATTTGGACGCTGGCATCTAATATATATATATATATATAGACTTTGACATACCTTTTGTTTGGATGCTTGCATCCCATAAAAAATAAAATGCTTCGCCGAGCGCAGCCTGTTACAACCGCAGAGGTCGAACCCTGAACAGTTGGGGCAAGTTTGGACATAATATTCAAGCTTGATACTGTCTAAATTTGGATTGTGATCAAGTCTTTTACATAATATAGGTTTCTGATACAAAATATGAAACACCCCCCCCCCCCCCCCCCCCCCCAAACTTTTTTGAAACCCCCCAAATTTTGTTTTGAAATTTTGAAGATTATTTTCTTTTCAGGAAACTAGAAAAATGATTGTTTTGACCCCTTTTTTTGCTGAGTCATTTTCTTTAGATGCTGGGATCTGTCTTCTTTTGATGCTGGCATCTGTTTCTGTAAAAACCCGGTGGTTGTTTTGTTTAAAGGCTGATATCTTTGTTCCTTGTGATTTTTTTTTTATATATTTGACTAGGTGACTTAAGTTTAATCTCTCAATTGAAAAAGCTATTATCATTTAAATAAAAAGTCGAATATTTGGTGTTTGTTTATTATACCCCCGCTTTAAAAAAGTGGGGGTATACTGTTTTACATCTGTCTGTCCGTCTGTCCTTCCATCCGTCCGTCCGTCCGTCATTCCGTCCCATGAATATTTTTCGTCTCATCTTTCTCAGGAACTACGCCATAAGGATTTCTGAAATTTGGTTTCAGGGTTTATGTAAGTCAGCTATACCGTGTGATGCGTTTTCAGACTCATCACTCAACAAATTCCTGTTAACCGAACACTTACATCATTTTACACATGACATCCAAGTTGAAAATTTTCGTCACATTTTTCTCAGGAACTACATTACAAGGATTTCTGAAATTTGGTTTCAGGGTTTATATACGTCAGCTATACCGTGTGATGCGTTTTCAGATTCATCACTCAACAACTTCCTGTTTACTGAACACTTACATATTTTTACACTATCAAAATTATCCACTTGCGGCGGGGGTATCATCGGTGAGCAGTGGCTCGCAGTTTCACTTGTTATTTATATAAAAAAAATATAGAAAAAGCGCATAAATCTAAAACTGGTGATTATTATTGTGATGAATTACAAAAATACAAATACATGAAACAGTAATATACAATATGATATTGTATCAAAGAGTGTTTGGAGTTACTGTAGGTAAGCTTAACACCATAGCCTGCTTAATTGATATTATTGACTTACTCTACAATTCGGATTGGTGACTGCACTTTATTAAGGTGCTTCATATGAAATCTGTAAGCCTGCATTATAATTTTGTGTCTATGACAAACCCCAGTGTTTAGTTAAGGTATATATTGGCATTAAATATATAAGATATCATAAGGAGATCTGTCTTCCCCAGCTTCTTACATACAATAATACATGCACCGCTTTGATAACAATGCAAAATCTTTAAAAAATTTATTTCAATTATCAATACTGGTCTCTTTCATCTGTACTGTACTGGATATTGTCAATATCACTGGCCTTGCTGTATGCAACTTCCCATGCGGCGGCACATCATGTCATGATCTATTTTCAGTTCATTCACAAAACTTACATTTTCTTTATTAGGATCATTGTTAAGCTTGTGTCTTTTTTCTGTATTTAATATCTATCGATCATTTAATAAAATCGGTTACATGAGCTAGAGCTTTTTAACTTTTTTTATCATTAATTACTAATCTGAAATCAGCTGGAATCGCAAATGATCTGGTGCTGTTTGGATGCTTCGTCGCTTAAGTTCAACCTGTCCAGTAACTATAAAGTGTTATGATACATAATACACAACACATAAATAGTAACCGGAAAGGTACAGCCACTGCTTAAAAAAATGCTGAAACGAGAAATGAAAATCCAATCTAGTTTTTAATACACATAAATATTCTGACCAATATAAATGTTTGAAGAAATTGCTAAAATTGAGTTTCCTGTTGCTTACGTCTTTCATCCACAACAATTTGGGCTCCTATTTGTCTCTAAGGCAATTATACCTCACCGCCTTAGAATACTGTTTAAGTAGATATTCATGTAGTATAAAGTGTTAAAAATACATGTATATTGCTTTTCTCCCAAAGTTGAAAATGACTACTCATTGTTTCAAAAAAGAAAAACTACTTACACCCTAGGCCTCCCCCTCCAAGAAAACGCATGATTATTTGAAGAAACCTCCATTTAAACATCACTTTACCAAAGTTTTCCATACCAAGCCTGGTGCTTCTGCATAGTCATCAAATAAAACTATTGAAAAACCATCTAAACCACTAATTAAATGGAATTATTATGGAGCAACACACAGATCTTGACACTATCAAAGGGAGAAAAAGGTGCAATTTCATCAATGTCATTCGTTTTGGAGAAATATACCTCATTTGGAGATATTTCGTGAAATTGCAATTTATTTATTTATTTATCTATCTATATTTTAATATTTATTCATTTATTTTCTGATCATTTCTTAAAATTTAATTTACTGTATAATACAAACTTTATATGTGTTTAAAATACACAGATTTTTTGGTCGATATAAAAACATTTGTATCTATAAATAGTCAACATAGCCTATTTGTTGTGACCTTTGCGCTGAAAGGCAGTATATGGTACAAACACATACTTAATGAGCATTTACTGATAGTTTTGTAATGCTAGCATCACATCCCAGTGTGAAACTTTGCCCCGCATTAGTATTAACATAGCTGTATATTATATACATCTATGGTATTAAGTAAGTTGACCAGGATGCTATCTCCCCCGTTATGAGAGTGTGGAATGTGTTTACAGAATAGAGAATAATGGGCAAAAAAAATAAAGAATAGAGAATATATAATGAGGTGTTAAAATATAAAGAATAGAGCATAATGGGCAAAAAGTATAAAGAATAGAGAAAAATGGCCTAAAAAATTAAAGATTACAGAACCCATCCTGACCCTCAATTATCGCGTATATAAAAATAAATACAAGGTTTCTTGAGAGGTCACAGGTGAACGTCCTTATTTATGACATTAGCTTGTACAGTGAAACATCTACGTAAGTATTTATACTTTTAAAAAACCTTTTAAAAACCATAACAGCACCTCCAGGCTAATCGATACTTTTAATAATAAAGTAGGGATAAATACGGCAGCATGACTGTTCGTCCATAAGGATCGGAACCAACATGACCAAAGCGTTATGCCTTGTATTTATTTCCGAACGGTTGTCTATCATGTCTATATTTGGGATGCGAATCGACAATAACTTGTTACTTTGGAGTTATTTTTAAAGACGGGTGTTCAAGTTGAACGTTTTCTTTTTATCGGTTGTCACATCGAAAATGTTAATAAGGTCGTCATATCTGCCCGTCCTGACATAGGTAAAGGTGGAGCAAATATATCTGTTGGGCCTTTGGGATAATCATGTCCCGTTTAAAATTTCAATCACTATCGAATGATAACCAAGGACCTACAGCATCAGTCTGTTAAATATCTGCATGGCCACACTTATAAAGTCTTTTGTTTTTCATTTTCTTTAGAAATATACGTAAGTTTAATGATTTTGACCGTTATCCTATTTTGTAGACAATCTAAGACTTATGCATACATGATTCATTTTCTAATTGCGAACGATGTACTCAGTTTTCTACACACAAAATGTTTTTGTCACTACCGTTCCACAGAAAACATCACACGACAATTTGGAGACCAGGAATGATATCAAGGAAACAAAGCTGTCTCGTACCGTTCCACCGAAAACATCAGACGACAAACAGGAAACCAGTCAAGATATCAAGGATACATAGCTGTCTTATTTCAGAATACAATTATCGCTCATTTCTTGGAAAAGAAACATGTATATCCTTTCCCCAGTTGCCATGTTAATTATATGATTCTCTGCCTTTACACGAATTATATATTTTTTTCTATTAGTTGTTATTGGCTTTGAACTAGCTGTCAGTAACTGCGAGAACTCTCAGATCTGTACTTAGTGTCTTTTTGTTGTGGGGATGTATAAGTACCCTGCCACGTCCACTCTGTGCTTTTGTTTGATGTATTTCTGCTTTGTATCTATCTGATGAGTAATGCCCTTTTCAACTGATTTTTACAGTTTGTTCTTATGTTGTACTGTTACACCACTGTCCCAGGTTAGGGGAAGGGTAGGCGCCTTCAAACTAGTTTAACCCCGACACACGACAATTTGGAGACCAGGAATGATATCAAGGAAACAAAGCTGTCTCGTACCGTTCCACCGAAAACATCAGACGACAAACAGGAAACCAGTCAAGATATCAAGGATACATAGCTGTCTTATTTCAGAATACAATTATCGCTCATTTCTTGGAAAAGAAACATGTATATCCTTTCCCCAGTTGCCATGTTAATTATATGATTCTCTGCCTTTACACGAATTATATATTTTTTTCTATTAGTTGTTATTGGCTTTGAACTAGCTGTCAGTAACTGTGAGTACTCTCAGATCTGTACTTAGTGTCTTTTTGTTGTGGGGATGTATAAGTACCCTGCCACGTCCACTCTGTGCTTTTGTTTGATGTATTTCTGCTTTGTATCTATCTGATGAGTAATGCCCTTTTCAACTGATTTTTACAGTTTGTTCTTATGTTGTACTGTTACACCACTGTCCCAGGTTAGGGGAAGGGTAGGCTCCTTCAAACTAGTTTAACCCCGACACACGACAATTTGGAGACCAGGAATGATATCAAGGAAACAAAGCTGTCTCGTACCGTTCCACCGAAAACATCAGACGACAAACAGGAAACCAGTCAAGATATCAAGGATACATAGCTGTCTTATTTCAGAATACAATTATCGCTCATTTCTTGGAAAAGAAACATGTATATCCTTTCCCCAGTTGCCATGTTAATTATATGATTCTCTGCCTTTACACGAATTATATATTTTTTTCTATTAGTTGTTATTGGCTTTGAACTAGCTGTCAGTAACTGCGAGAACTCTCAGATCTGTACTTAGTGTCTTTTTGTTGTGGGGATGTATAAGTACCCTGCCACGTCCACTCTGTGCTTTTGTTTGATGTATTTCTGCTTTGTATCTATCTGATGAGTAATGCCCTTTTCAACTGATTTTTACAGTTTGTTCTTATGTTGTACTGTTACACCACTGTCCCAGGTTAGGGGAAGGGTAGGCGCCTTCAAACTAGTTTAACCCCGACACACGACAATTTGGAGACCAGGAATGATATCAAGGAAACAAAGCTGTCTCGTACCGTTCCACCGAAAACATCAGACGACAAACAGGAAACCAGTCAAGATATCAAGGATACATAGCTGTCTTATTTCAGAATACAATTATCGCTCATTTCTTGGAAAAGAAACATGTATATCCTTTCCCCAGTTGCCATGTTAATTATATGATTCTCTGCCTTTACACGAATTATATATTTTTTTCTATTAGTTGTTATTGGCTTTGAACTAGCTGTCAGTAACTGCGAGTACTCTCAGATCTGTACTTAGTGTCTTTTTGTTGTGGGGATGTATAAGTACCCTGCCACGTCCACTCTGTGCTTTTGTTTGATGTATTTCTGCTTTGTATCTATCTGATGAGTAATGCCCTTTTCAACTGATTTTTACAGTTTGTTCTTATGTTGTACTGTTACACCACTGTCCCAGGTTAGGGGAAGGGTAGGCTCCTTCAAACTAGTTTAACCCCGACACACGACAATTTGGAGACCAGGAATGATATCAAGGAAACAAAGCTGTCTCGTACCGTTCCACCGAAAACATCAGACGACAAACAGGAAACCAGTCAAGATATCAAGGATACATAGCTGTCTTATTTCAGAATACAATTATCGCTCATTTCTTGGAAAAGAAACATGTATATCCTTTCCCCAGTTGCCATGTTAATTATATGATTCTCTGCCTTTACACGAATTATATATTTTTTTCTATTATTTGTTGTTGGCTTCGAACTAGCTGTCAGTAACTGCGAGTACTCTCAGATCTGTACTTAGTGTCTTTTTGTTGTGGGGATGTATAAGTACCCTGCCACGTCCACTCTGTGCTTTTGTTTGATGTATTTCTGCTTTGTATCTATCTGATGAGTAATGCCCTTTTCAACTGATTTTTACAGTTTGTTCTTATGTTGTACTGTTACACCACTGTCCCAGGTTAGGGGAAGGGTAGGCGCCTTCAAACTAGTTTAACCCCGACACACGACAATTTGGAGACCAGGAATGATATCAAGGAAACAAAGCTGTCTTGTACCGTTCCACCGAAAACATCAGACGACAAACAGGAAACCAGTCAAGATATCAAGGATACATAGCTGTCTTATTTCAGAATACAATTATCGCTCATTTCTTGGAAAAGAAACATGTATATCCTTTCCCCAGTTGCCATGTTAATTATATGATTCTCTGCCTTTACACGAATTATATATTTTTTTCTATTAGTTGTTATTGGCTTCGAACTAGCTGTCAGTAACTGCGAGTACTCTCAGATCTGTACTTAGTGTCTTTTTGTTGTGGGGATGTATAAGTACCCTGCCACGTCCACTCTGTGCTTTTGTTTGATGTATTTCTGCTTTGTATCTATCTGATGAGTAATGTCCTTTTCAACTGATTTTTACAGTTTGTTCTTATGTTGTACTGTTACACCACTGTCCCAGGTTAGGGGAAGGGTAGGCGCCTTCAAACTAGTTTAACCCCGCCACATTCTGTATGTGGCTGTCCCAAGTCAGGAGCCAGTTGTTCAGTGGTTGTCCTTTGTTGTTGTATGTCATATTTGTTTTTCGTTCATTATTTTGTACATAAATCAGGCCGTTAGTTTTTTCTCGTTTGAATTGTTTTAGATTTGTCATTTCGGGGCCTTTTATAGCTAACTATGCGGTATGGGTTTATGGAGAGGGCTTACATAGGCTTTGCCTGTTGCCCAATCCAATTCAATTTATATGAATAAAATACGGTTAAACTAACATAAATTACATTGCATTCCATATATAGAATATGCATTTATATCAATGATTGTGATTTTCCCTCTAGAGATCTGGTATTTGGTATTGACGATGTTACAAGCCTGTGGTATTGAAATCAAATAAATGTACTTAATTCTTAAAAATCTATTACAATTTTTAATTTTGCAAAACAATGTTGAAATTGTTACAATTAACAGAGAAGAGATGAATATATGTTTTGTACGAAAATTTTAACGAGAAACGTTTTTGTTTTTAAATTACAGCTGTCGCAGGAATGACTGGATCAATGCACCGGTGATCAATGCTGTGATACCGGGTTGTTACAACCACAGTCATGTTTTATTTTGTAGAAGAAATACACAAATTATACCTTACATGAACAATTATATTTGTTGTTAAATAAAATAAATTTTCATTTACGCAAATTGAGCATAGTTATAAACAGGAACTCGTGATGCAGCATACTAATTGGTGTAACTGTTTACATAGTAAAATACTTCCGCAACACAGGTAGAACATTTATAGTGGATTCATTTGTATTTTGAAGGTTTTAAATGAGGATTAGAGTACTGCTTGGGAGAAGTCGAAATCTTTATCAGATACACATATCTCCCCTCTGCAGTTCGAGATTTACAAAAACCAGGCTGGACCAAACATTACGCTCATATCACAGGCTGGTACACGAAAAGGCTTATGTGAACGGACAATGGGTTGATGCGAGCAGTGGAAAGACATTTGATGGTAATTATGATAATATATCCTGATTTATTGATATGAAAAATGAAATAATAACTGAGACCCTTTTTGCAAGGTTTCTGATGAAATATAATCTATACTTATTTGTACTAAACATTATAAGTTACGTGTTATCCAAGACTGAATTACATTTTGATCGCCAAACAATTAAATTTTAACTCAAATCGGATCAGATCATAAATGTATTAATAGCACCATGTATCTTGGATAATTTCTTTTCCGTCATTGTGTCATCATTGTTTTGATTTTATTTTCATGATTGCAAACCGTCTTGACTTACACAGCGTGCTTAAGAATTCTTTGAGAGGTTTCACAGTTACCTTAAATAAATACTTTTAGATCTTACAGTAATACGAACGGGGTCGTTTTAATTGTCGAAATCAGTACATATTGATTGATTGTTGGTTGCTTAAAGTCTAGTGGCAAATATTTCATGCATGTTCAGGACGAGAACAAATTAACAATAAATACAATAAGTAGGTCCTGTAATAGAGGCCGTCCGGGGTAAAGGTCGGGGAAATTCGGACTGCAACGGGAAAATGAGGGTATATTGGATAAGGACCGAATTTTAGCCTTGCAACAGGCCACCTACGGATCCCTCAATGAGTTGTTGCAAGAGTTTTTCACGTGCAAAGAGCGAAGCACTCTCTTCATACGAGGTATCGGATTTAACGTCCCCATTCTGACCGAACGTGGCTGCGTTCTTGTACATCCCGCACAGTCAAACGGACGCCCAACTTTGGCAATGGTGACCATATGTCTATTCCACAGTCAACCTTGGGGTACGTTATAAAGGTACATTAGGCTACACATGTTTGAACTCCAAGTTATATTAAAATGTAGTTAACAGGAAAAACTGTTAAATTATCCAATGATTGAGCAAATATTGAATAGCCAGAATTGGGAACATACCATAGTATTTGACAAAGCATGGCAATTTATTTTGTGAAACATGAAAACAAAAATCGACACGCAATTTCGAAGATGAAGATTTAGTAGTTAAATATATGCATTTTACAACTATAGTTAGACCATGTTTATGTTTCTAGCTTTAAGTTGAAATATTGGTTTTTGAAATCTTGGCTGACAGGGGAATTCGTTTTAACTGTGTGGTATGTATAAATACGCATGTACAGAAATTATCCAGTTTTAGTCAGGATTGGGACGTTAAATCAAAAGCCTCGTGTTGGGCGTGTGCCATGTTCACTGCAACAGCTCTCTGTGGGTTCCGTATGTGGTCTTTTGCCAGGACAAATTTCTGCCCTAATTGAACAGACCCTTATTTACCAAAGGCATTCATGATTGCCCGCCCTTATATCCAGTTTTTATACCTCGGAAAACCTATTTATTGTAGTATTTGTTAGTTTGTTCTCGACCTGAATATGCATGAAACGTTTGTCACTGGACGTTGAACAAGCAACAATCAATCAACCGAAAGCGCCACATGGTTGTAAGAAAATCAGAAAATAATAACTTCTTGTTTATTTTGACCCAGCCAGAGAACGAATCAACGGCATCACAACTAGAGACAGATCATTAATTAATCAGTATCCTGCGTAGTTTGTGTGTAATGGTCTGATTAAAACTATCTGTTTTAGCAACAAAAATCGAGCATAATATTTTTTTCTCGAGGAATAAATTAAAAATAAGAAAAAAAAAAACATAGACACCTTCCCTTTTCGGTTTCCGTATTTCCAAGAACGGCATAATGTTTAAGTTTTCGATGAGTATTTTTATATATAAACATCTGCTAGTGGAATTTGGAATTCCGATTTATACTAATCAAAATCCAGTACAAATCAGAATTCTAATATCTTCTGGTAGAAATTGGGATATCCAGATGTGTACTAGGAAAATCTTGCATTGTACTAGATAATTATTAAAAAAGACACAAAAAAAGAAAAATCATGTTTTTTTCTTTAAAATGAAATAAATTTATAATCAATTATGTCTGAATCAAAAAGAGAAGAGGAAGTGCCAGTTTAATAGGAAAAGAAGCCTAATCGTATGCAGTAAGAAGTTCTGATAATCATACTGTAAAATGTATTTATGTCATCCTTTCTGGATACAGTCTACAATCCATCTACTCAAGAAAAGATAGGATGTATCCCAGACATGAATTCAGGGGATACCGAGAGGGCTATACAATGTGCTGCTGAAGCATTAGAATCATGGAAAGAAACAACTGCTAAGGTAACTTGCATTGGAAATGTAACTGAAATATTGAATTTAAAGTTTTAATCATTTTTCTGTTGGTTTAACTACACTCTGAAGACCTCATTTGCACGTGAGTACTGCTATGCAGTGAGTGAGTTCATAATATCAAGTAAGTAACATAAATTTACAAGAACCATCGCCCCCAAAGGGTTGACTGGCGTAAATAAACGGATTCACCTGCACATCCCCGATCCGATAGTAAAACAAGTGTTAAAAAGGGATTATCTATTTGATAATGCGGGATGTATTAATACGCAGCAACGTCTGGTCGAAATAGGGATGATAAAATCGATGTTTTGTGTTCTTGGTACGTTAAATGTCATTGCAACAACTCTTTAAGCTGCCATCATGTCGTTCGACCTTCTTTTCTTTGCAGAACATGCTTATCGGATTTGTTGTCAATTTGTTCTCGTCCAGAATAAACATGAAATATTTGCAACTAGACGTTAAGCAAACAACTCTTTACTTAGATTGAATGAAAAAGAGTTTTTGGTTTATGTCAATGAGCAGCAACCAAACGACAAAAAAGCACAATTCCCATTCTTTAACAATTGACAATGGTATATACAATTGGTACATTTTTTGCATTGTGAATAAATTAAACAGACACTAATAAAGATCTGCCAGCACCAAGTTCCCCAAAGCACATATGTCTTTAGTAAACTATTATAATGTGTTTATGATGAAGTTCTCAATCTTGAGTTTTCTATGAAGTGTTTACTGACTATTTAAGAATTCATTATAAATTGTTCAGTTTTGAGCCATGTAATGGTTTCGTCCGTCGTCGTGACATTTTTTTTCAAAAATATTCTCTGAAACCACTTGAACAATTCTAACCTTGGCCTGAATGATCATTACAAAATTTGAGTAAAATGTAAGTAATTGTCAAATATATAGAAAGAGGAAATCTGACCCCAGAAAAGCTCAGAATATACAAATCTACCTACGTTCAATTTTTCAAATTACCGGATTGTACCTTACCGCAGTAATTACCCGCAAATTATATTTTTTTATCATTTTAAGTAACGTGTTTTTTTTTTTCAATCTTGAAAAATGAAGATAAGCAGAAAGTTTGTAAATAGCAAAAACTAATCAGCAAAACAAGATCCTCAATGGTTTTTTTGTGATATTTTTATCCATATTTTTACAAAAATAAATATCAAAATAGCATATTTAAGTCAGTTGGACAATTGAGCTTGTAGAATTCTTTTGACAATGCTCTTGTGTGTCTTTCTTCGATTTTTATTTACATCTTGGTATCTCATTATCTTATTCATAAAATATATGTTATTATGATTTTATGATTGCAGGAAAGAAGTACTATCTTGAGACGATGGGTTGACTTATGTAACGAAAACAAAGAAGATCTAGCTAAGATTTTAACATTGGAAATGGTTTGTTCTCTTATGTTTCAAACGCTATCCTACATGTTGATGACATAATGCTTTCATTTGCTTTGTAAACACTCTTGTTATAATTGTTAACTTACAATTTATACATTTTTTTCTAATTGTTTTCTAACCTAGGTTGATAATTTTCGCTGTTGCGTTTAAACTGATACCAAATTTATATATGTTCCTTCAAAAACGTTTGGTGTCCAGTTTACCTGACGAGGAATTTAAACTTGAATCATTTTTTTGTATTGTAAATATCACTGGGATATGCTCTGCTGGTGGTTTGTCAGTCCCTTGGGATGATAATATCCCACCATATGCATGGAACTATGCTTAAGTACAGTCATGATTTAAATTACACATTCTGAATATAGTACACATTAACTAATGTTGCTGCTCCCTCAGGCAAAATGACATTAACTTAGTAGATTTTTCTGTTTAGTTTAGACCCTGTTTGGTCGTTTAACGTTTATATTATACAATAAATATGTACATAAGGATGGCTTCTTTTAACTTGTCCTATGCAGTCTGTAATGATTGGTTTTTTCAAAAGCAAAAATATAATCCTAATATTCTCGCATGATATACACGCCTGAAGTTCATCAAAAGCCCTTTTAGATGTCAAAGTAATTGGTTTTTTTATTACATCTTTGGATTTATTTTTAATAATAAGAATGTGTTATATTTACAAGACTCACCATTCTCATTAAAAGTTTAGAAATTTTATTTAATATTTTGTTTTATTCATTAGGGTAAGCCACTCCAGGAATCGATCGGAGAACTAAATTATGGAATAGGATTTCTAGAATGGTTTGCTGAAGAAGCCAGACGTGTTTATGGAGATATTGTACCCTCTCCCGCCAAATCAAAGAAACTTTTGGTACTGAAACAGCCGATAGGGGTAACTGGAATGATAACACCGGTAACTATCTTTAGTGGTTTGAAACGAATTCATACACTTTACCTAGGTAAAATGGATGTAAAAGCACGCAAAATTTTGTGGCATGCCATACTAGTAATGGAAATAGCCATGTACATTTTCATTAAAAAATCATCAAAGATATCAGGTTTATATTTGCGTTTGCCAGATGCTCTTTTTGTCAACAAAAGACTTATCAGTGACGCACAAATCAAAAGGTTAAAAGGCCGAATAATATAAGAAAATGAAGAGCATTGCGAATCCAATATTTCTTAAGGAATTACGATTGTAATGTTTCAAGCGATGCCGAAAGAATTCACACTTGACACAAAACGAATATGGAGACTGCACACAATGTCGACTAAATGGGAACTTTTTTGTATTTTTCACCAATAATCAGTTTTCCTCATCGATGGTCTCGTGTTAACTTGCTCCGCTCGACTGCGCCATATCGTAAGTTTTTATCCTGATATGCGTGTTAATTAATTCATCAACATGACGCATATACATATTCTTAAAGGTATTGTTATGTTGCTGTTAAATAATATATATAAGTGATATACCTAATATGGAAATCAGCGTAGTTGTAGTTCGGTTAACAGTTGAAATTGTTGTAACTGGCAAATTAATTCTATTATTTTGATGTACATAAGTCATGGTAGTACTCCGGCCTAAATTTATATTTTAAGAAGGAGTATGAGCTTTTGATATTTTGCTCCTTGGTTGGAACAAGGACTCAATAACTGTAAAATTAATTATTTTATGCAGAATGTATATATATATATATAAGTCTAAATTGAAAACAATGTTCAAACCTATGATTACGTTGGATAAAAACCGCAATTTTTATACGTGTGCATGCAAAACAAATTTCTTGTTAGAGGGGTCTAAATACAGCACAAACAACATTTTCCAAAAGACCAAAAAAGTGAAAAAGTATATTTTAACAAAACGCATTTGACTAACAGGTCGAACAACAAATGTTCTTAAACCCTGCCGACTGCCATTGGCGATTGCCAAATAAACGGATCACCAGGTGTAATAAATGGATCTTATTTATAAATTAATACCAAACAGAAAACAATTAACTTGCGGCAAAGATGGTATACCGCAAACAAAAGGTGCAAAGATTTTTGAACACCATATCCGGATTTCGACAATTAATGTCTCTTCAGTGATGTTAGGAATCGAAAGGGTATTTGGAAGGCCATATAATTTACCTCAATTTAGGATAGACTCTTGAATTTTGAGGAGTCAAAATAGGATGAACGGATCATATAAACCCGAAGGCAAATATAATACAAGCCCAAACGAAAAAATATAAACAAGTCTAAATTGAAAACAACGTTCAAACCTATGATTACGTTGGATAAAAACCGCAATTTTTATACGTGTGCATGCAAAACAAATTTCTTGTTAGAGGGGTCTAAATACAGCACAAACAACATTTTCCAAAAGACCAAAAAAGTATATTTTAACAAAACGCATTTGACTAACAGGTCGAACAACAGATGTTCTTAAACCCTGCCGACTGCCATTGGCGATATAGTTTTGATGGCTTACATAATAAACATTTTGTGTATATACCTGCAAAAGTTACTGGATGTCTTATAATTTACATGTATTTTTGTATGACAATGGTAAGGAAATAATATTTAACAACAAAGGAAAGAGAGGCGAAAGATAACAAAGTGAAATTCAAACTCACAAGTCGAAAATAAATTGACAACGAGATGGCAAAAAAAAAAGAAACAGACCAAGAGACAAACAGCAGTACACAAAACACAACATAGATAACTAAAGACTGAACAGGATGTAAAAATTCAATTGAATATATTTACACGTCAAAGCATTTCACTGTTATAATATAAACTTATTTGAGGAACCAAATAACTGATCAATAAACATTGTAGTAAATGAAACGACTGCTTAATACTTTTAAGAAATTAGAAAACATGTCCATATCCATTTTAAATGTTGACACTAAAACTGGTGCGTTCATGATAAAATCAAGACTTCTTTTTTTTGTAGCGTTATCTCACAACGTTACTTTGTATGTTTATCTAATGGTGTATCAGCGTAGATAACCTTCATTCTGGAATTAACTAGTATTCAATAAACTAAGCTTTGAAAATGATTTGTTGATATTCTTGTATAACATTTCTTTCCTACTATTTTAAAAGTGGAATTTTCCTCATGCCATGATAACCAGAAAAGCTGGACCCGCCATTGCTGCAGGTTGTACTGTAGTATTAAAGCCGGCAGAAGATACACCATACTCTGCATTAGCTCTATGTGAGGTAAATATATAATGTTACAAGATTTGAAAAATATCAACTGATTCATTAATGGCAGTATGCTTACCACAATTTCTATGTTGATGACGCAATCATTCTGTATATACATTGAACAAACTCACCAAGGTTTTGTTTGAAAAGTTTTTTTTCAATGTTTTACATTACAACAATATAGCATTAGGCATATAACAGGTTCTCTAATAGCGTAAAAATTACAATTTTTTAAAATTTATATTTCCACAAAAGAAAAAATCAAACTTCCACAAGAATTGAAATTATTACCAAGTCATTTTAAGCAGCCAACCCCTCAGCCGTGGTCAGACTGCATGTGTTTATAGTGTTATTTCATGATTACTATCTTTTTGGGTTGCTCCCTAAGTTTCGTCATTTCATAAATGCCCCTATTTTGTTTTTTTTTTTAAATTGAAATCCTATGTTGATTACACAATCAATAGAATAATTCTTAATTCTTAATTCTAAGAGTCAAATAGAAAAAATAGGATCAATCATTCAGAATAATTTTGATCTGTTTCTTATAAGAAAAGATCTGTCTTCACTTAATCATAAATTGCCTTAGTACTTATGGTTTTCTGGTGTAAAAAAATAGATACTTTCTTTTTTAAACATTTTGTTTGGATATTAGTTGGCAGAGAAAGCAGGATTACCGTCTGGTGTGTTGAATGTTGTTACATGTAGCAGAGAGAATTCAGCTGATGTTGGCAAAACACTGTGTAAAAGTCCCACAGTCAAGCAGATATCGTTTACTGGATCAACTGCCGTAGGAAAGGTAAGCAAGTTATATTTCCTTATTTAAAATCATACTTTCAGGTAGACGTCATTTTCTACTGCCGTAGGAATTCGAAGGTATGTACGAAATGTAGGAAAAACCTATTTTTATTCCGACTGTCATACAGTTTTACTTTTTTTATTTTTCAAATTGGATTGAAACGTCTGCTAATTTGCATGTTGGTACATAAACTGAAGATTTGTTTAACAAACCAGACCTATGACTTCCAGATAAACAGAAGCTTTTTGATAATATGATGAACGTTCATCAGCCTACGATGATACATGATTGCATACCATTTGGTTAACCTTTTTTACCTTGAACTTTGTCATTGCCATGTTTGAATGACTATGACATAGTCTTTGATATTTGGCATGACTTATCACCTTGAACTTTGTCCTCATTGGCATGTATTAAAATGACTATGGCAAGGATCTTTGATATTTGGCATGCGGCTGCTTCCATTTAAGATGATGTGTTACGTACATGTACAATTTTAAAATACACATATGATCTTAGATCTCTGGCGTTAAGGTGAATTTAATTTTATTTTGTGACATGATCGTGTCCAGGGCCATATTTCTTGGCCACGTATTTTTTAGTCTCCCAAACGAAGTTTGGGAAGACTTATTGTTTTTGCTCAGTTCTTATTATTATTATTATTATTCTTCCTCTTCCTCTTCCTCTTCCTCTTCCGCCGCTTTTAAATTTGAACTTGTCCGCACCCGTTCTCCAAAACCGCTTGTCAGATTAACTTAGGGTTTCACAATATGTTAGACTAACATGTCTAGTGGTGCAATCAGTGTTTTGTTTGTGCAATGGGGTTTATAAAGGGGTACTTTGAGGGGCAAAAAGAAAAGAGGGTTTTACTATAGAACCCTATGGGATTTTATTTTTTAAAATTTTCAAATGATTATAAATTGAAAACCGTTTGTGATAGACACAATCTTTTTAATTGAAAATGTTCTAAATGACAAAACCCATTAAATGAAATACAGGGTTAGTCCCCAGGGGTCATCCCCACCCCCTGCCATTTAAGAAAGTTCTAATACCTTGTAAGTGGTCAAGATCCCCACCCCTTAACCATATATATTATGGTTTGTCATGCTAAGATGGTTTGAATGATATACAGGGTTAGTCCCCAGGGGTCATCCTGACCCCCTGCCATTTGAGAAAGTTCTAATATCTTGTAAATGGTCGAGATCCCCACCCCTAAACCATATATATTCTGGTTTGTCATGCTAAGATGGTTTGAATGATATACAGGGTTAGACCCCAGGGGGTCATCCCGACCCCCTGTGGTTTGAGAAAGTTCTAATATCTTGTAAATGGTTGAGATCCCCACCCCTAAACCATATATATTCTGGTTTGTCATGATAAAGCACATGAAATGAAATACAGGGTTAGTCCCCAGGGATCACCCCCACCCCGTGCCATTTAAGAAAGTTCTAATATCTTGTAAGTGGTCAAGATCCCCACCCCTAAACCATATATATTCTGGTTTGTCATGCTAAGATGGTTTGAATGATATACAGGGTTAGTCCCCAGGGGTCATCCTGATCCCCTGCCATTTGAGAAAGTTCTAATATCTTATAAATGGTCGAGATCCCCACCCCTAAACCATATATATTATGGTTTGTCATGATAAAGCAAATCAAATGAAATACAGGGTTAGTCCCCAGGGGTCACCCCCACCCTATGCCATTTAAGAAAGTTATAATATCTTGTAAGTGGTCAAGATCCCCACCCCTAAACCATATATATTCTGGTTTGTCATGCTGAGATGGTTTGAATGATATACAGGGTTAGTCCCCAGGGGTCATCCCGACCCCTGCCATTTGAGAAAGTTCTAATATCTTGTAAATGGTCGAGATCCCCACCCCTAAACCATATATATTCTGGTTTGTCATGATAAAGCACATGAAATGAAATACAGGGTTAGTCCCCAGGGGTCACCCCACCCCATGCCATTAAAGAAAGTTCTAATATCTTGTAAGTGGTCAAGATCCCCACCCCTAAACCATATATATTCTGGTTTGTCATGCTAAGATGGTTTGAATGATATACAGGGTTAGTCCCCAGGGGTCATCCCGACCCCCTGCCATTTGAGAAAGTTCTAATATCTTGTAAATGGTCGAGATCCCCACCCCTAAACCATACATATTCTGGTTTGTCATGCCAAGATGATATGAATGATATACAGGGTTAGTCCTTAGGCATCACTTATGCATATAACTTTACTGGACCAAACCAATTTTCACTGGACTTTGCCCAATGTCAGGCGACCCTGGGAATTACGAATTATGGGAGCTTCGTTTGGGAGACTTCGTAACAGCATCCTGTTACAATCATTTCTTGTTTTTTATTGAATTTGTGGTTGTTTTGTAATAATTGGTATGAGGATACAGCACAGTTGAAACTTTGTCACATACCATCATGACCTTGCGTTTTTATTATTATAATTATTAATAAGTATTACAATAATAGTATAAGTCCATTTCTTTGGGTAAATGCAAAATACACCTTCAATAATTTTGTTTTTATAATACAGCAAAATTGTATATAAAGAATGTATTGAAAATAAAAACTTAAAGTTATTATCTTATTTTGTAGATTTTACTTGAACAATCAGCTTCTACTGTAAAGAGGGTTTCATTAGAAAACGGCGGTAATGCACCGTTTATAGTTTTTGAAACTGCAGATATTGACAAAGCTGTGACTGGAGTTATGGGGAGTAAGTTCAGGAATACCGGCCAGGTAAGTCCTATCATTTGTCATCAATGGTAAAACACAAATTTTAAATTTCAGAGGTAGTTGTATTAATTTTAGTTCGACATGATCAGCAGTGACAAATTGTAGAATTGACAGCGTTCAAAAAAACTCACCATTGAAACAATACACCTTCTGTTCTTGAACTTTACCCTATACATTTTCTAACCTGATATTTTACATTCAAAATTATATGATTAATTCACTAACTATCTTTATTAAAATGAAAATAATGAGGCAACACTTACGTATGACAAAATTTGCAATTTTCTTGGTTTTATGGTAATTTCTATTTGGGGTACTGATTACCAAGCAAAGTGCATAGTATGGTGTACTTCATTTTTTTTTTTTACATTTGTGAACATAGTATATATTGAATCATAATTAATTATCCACGAAAAGAAAGAAAAACGAAAGAGATTGTTTGAATAGTGAACATGTAAATTGTCTTCAAACTTTTGATGGAAAGTTCATTTTAGGCATGCATATGTGCAAATAGAATTATGGTACAAGATTCCATTTACGAGACATTCCTAGAAGCTTTATCAAAAAGGATGGAACAAGAATTACATATCGGGGATGGTTTCAATCCAAAGTCTACACAAGGACCTCTAATCAACAATCGAGCAGTTGAAAAGGTAAAAATAACACTAGTTTTAAATTGAAATTTACATCTTTCAATTCTTCCTTTTGTCCATACGTCTAAAGATTTTATAATGATGTGACGTAATCCAATTATCTGAATGCTGGTTTCTTGATTGAGCAAAAGCAAGAAGGATAGTGAGACCAGTTCAACAATGATGGTGATCTGCGAACATTTAAAAATCAATGAAACAGTTGTCAACCCTCCCACCTCGATAAAAAAAAATAGAAAGAAAAGAAGAGATATACAGGTCATTTTACATTTCTCTCTGTAAGAATATGACTGAACGGATGAATAGGTGAATGTTTTTATTCTTTATCTTTTCTTTTACGACTATTTTCGTGCGATTACAAAAAAATTGTTTTAGATAATACGTAGGTTACCAGTTTCTCTTGCTCTAGCAGTTGTATCATTTGATTTTATTATTTTCATTTTATGCACAAATATGTGCCATTTATTGTATTTTGTTTGATAGATTAAATGTTGTGTGAATATATATGGTAAAATGTAAAAGAGGGCATACATTTGAAGTCATAACACAAACTCACAATACCAAAGTCAAAAACCTGAATGTTGAAGAACAGCGCTTGTATTGCTGTTCCTTCTCTCAAATTCAAAATGAGGTCTAAACACGAAGCAAAAGATCACACCTCTTTACCTCTTTTAAGTTCAAGATGTTACTTAGTTCCTTTCGGTTGCTCCCAAATTTTGTCAAAACAACTGTCTCACAAGTCGGAGGTTTAGCTAGCTATAAAACCAGGTTTAAACCACCATTTTCTTCGGAAAATGCCTGAACCAAGTCAGGAATATGACACTTGTTTTTCACTCGTTCTGTTGGTTGATAATGTTTGATATCGTCAGTCTTTATGGACTTCCCCTTTTTTTTAATGAACTTTGGAGTTTGGTATTTTTGTTATACTTTTTTGGAACAAGTTTGAGTGAAATTCTTTGCTATATGGCGTTAATGTTTATGCTACCCATAAATTGAAACATATAGGTTCAGGCTAAGGAGAAGGTCCGGTAAGACCCCTTTTTGGCCCCAAACTACAGCGTTTTAACTAGAACTGGCAATAATCTCAATTATATCCTTGCAAAATACACAGAGAGTACAAACATTTAGGCAAATCATGGGCATATGAAGATACTTGTTAGATAACTTACAAGTAAATAATGTTGAAAAAGGGCAAAATATTCGGATGGAATCCATAGCATTTTTCGATTAACATTCAGACCGATATAGCAAAACGTGAAGTAAAAAACATAAGACAAGCTTCTCCAATAACTTCTCGGGCCACAATGCAGCACAAAAAACAGTCTGTTAATTTAATAGAAAAGAAGGAATGTGGTGAATATATTTCTTAAACGATATCCCTACACACATTTAACAAAATGTGAATCTGTAATACTTTCTCTGGAACATGTAGTCTTGATTATATTGTTTGAAGATTGAGGCTTTGGTTCAAGATGCAAAATCAAATGGCGCCAAGATATTATTGGGCGGACAAAGGAAAGAGGGTAACTTCTATGAACCTACACTTATCCGTGATGTTACAACTGATATGAAATGTTATAAAGAGGAACAGTTCGGCCCACTGGCTGCTGTTATAAGGTATGTTGTACACTGATTTAAACAAGTTAAAATATGGGTCAATTTTGGTGAGAATACCTTGCAATCTGTTATGAATATAAGAAAGATAAACTATTTCTTTAATTTATATAATAATTCATGATCCATATTGAAGTAACAAAAATAAGCAGTTTGTATTAGGAATTGAACAAACAGATGCAGCATCAATGACACAGCTTTGACAAAAGAAATAATATACATATATACATGCATGAACAATTTGAACAAGGGTGTTTGAATTTTCTATAAATAAATGTTGACCTTTTTCATAATTCTAATTTAATAAGCTACATGCATGTTCTAAATTGATAATTCCAGATTTAAAACAGAAGAAGAGGCAATACACTTGGCAAACAACACATCGTCAGGACTAGCGGGTAAATTAAACGGACATACTTACGGGCAATTATAATCCGAATTTTTTATAATTAAATCCTTTTTCATGACAAAAACCTTAGGTTAATTTCATACATCCATAGTTAAGAATTGATTTAGTACATGATGAAAATTTTGTAACCATATAATTCATGTATATTACATATATTGTCTACAGCATTTTTTAATATGATTTAATTAGACACATATGTATATACACCATAAAATTTTTAGTGTTTCCTAGGTTATAAAAATTACAGTTAAACATAAAACATCAAATTCATCTGTACAGTATTCTTATCAATGGACTAACACTCGTAATGAATGTAAAGGAATTTGAGATGAATATTTCATTGATATAGTTAATCACAATAATGATTTAATTTCAACTGATTGACTTTTTAAATACCAACATACAGAAATACATTCTAACTAAGGTTCATATTTCAAATTTTATCAGTTAACTTACTAAGTTGATGAACATACTGAATTAGTTATAAAAACCCCATCTTCGCAAGCCAAGGGTTACGATCCAGTCCACTCCTCTCTACCCTTGGCGGATTAAGGTAGAATTTCGGATCCACGAGGTAATGATTTCCATTGGACGCAGTTGTAACTGGCTGCATCCAATCAAAAAACGCCTATAAGATGATCACGTGTAAATGTAGAAAATGTAAATAAACAATTACCACGTGTTGATTGTGCAACAAGTATTTATCCCCAAAAACATAGGACGATATTTAGTGACAATTTTAAAGTTCAAAATCAACTAATTGAAGTTACTGGGTATGTTTCTCGAGCAAATGTTGGAATGTCAACGCATATTTTCGGTTCCTGCTTCACAAAATTTGTAAACACTAGACACGACCATTTTACACCTCCATACTGGAGAGAGTTCAAGTGCTGCCATTGGTCAAGAATGATGCAGTCGGAATGGACGTGACTTTTATCCAACGGCAGATGGCGCAGCATTGTTATCACAAATGTTGGCTTTATCTGCCAAGGGTGGAGAGGAGGAGACTGGATTGTAACCCTTGGCTAGCGAAGATGTAAAAACCCGTATTATACCCATTTTCTTGTGCACTATGCATTGTTTTTGGAATACGCATCATCAGTTACGTTTAAACCCAGGTTTTGAGCGCCAAAAATGAAAACATAGATATTTGAACCTGTTTATTGTTTCTTATTTTACAATATAATAATTTTTTAACAAGTGTGTGCAATATTTCATTATTTAGTTATACTGACGTTATTTATCATCTTAATCACGTGTTATGGTGTTCTTTTCATTTGTCTTTGTGTATTTTAACCTTTACTGTTTAGTCCATTTTTGGTATATACTTTTGGTGTGGCTAGATATTTATACATCCCGCCATTGTGTTATTGTGCTATGGTCATTTTTATACGACCGCAAAAATTAAAAATTTTTTGGTCGTATATTGGTATGACGTTGGCGTTGTCGTCGTCGTCGTCGTCGTCGTCGTCGTCTGGCGTCGTCCGGCGTCGTCCGAAGACACATTGGTTTTCGCACTCTAACTTTAGTTTAAGTGAATGGATCTCCATGAAATTTTACCATAAGGTTCTATACCACGAAAGGAAGGTTGGGATTGATTTTGGTGGTTATGGTACCAACAGTTAAGGAATTAGGGGCCAAAAAGGGGCCAAAAATAAGCATTTTTGTAACTTCCAGACAATAACTTGTGTGTAAGTGTATGGATCTCTCTGACATTGTACCACAAGGTTCCATATCACAAAGGGAAGGCTGTTATTGATTTTGGGGGTAATTGCCTCAAAATTTTAGGAATTAGGGGCCACAAAAGGGGCAAAAAACAAGCATTTTTCTAGTTTCATGACAATAACTTGTGTGTAAGTGTTTGGATATTTCTGAAATTGTACTACAAGGTTCCATTTCACAAAGGGAAAGCTGGAATTGAGTTTGGGGGTAATTGCCCGAAACGTTTAGGAATTGGGGGCCAAAAAGGGGCCAAAAATAAGCATTTTTCTAGTTTCTAGACAATAACTTGTGTTCAAGTTTATGGATCTCTCTGAAATTGTACTGCAAGGTACCATACCACAAAGGGAAGGCTGGGATTGAGTTTGGGGGTGATGAATCATTAGGGGGTTCAAAAAATTTGAGGGGGGTGGGATTTTTTTTTTTTTTTTTTTTTTTTCTTTTTTTCCTTTTTTTTTCTTTTAAAATTTTCCATTTTAAGTTGGTTATTTCTGATTTATATTTAAAAGCAAATAATAATGATATGATAGGAGATACACACCAAACAGAATGTGTAAATTATTATATAATAAGTATTGTGCAATAGCAAGAAATTTTCAATTGCACAGTATTGCACAATAGCAAGAAATCTTCAATTGCACAGTATTGCACAATAGCAAGAAATCTCCAATTGCATAGTATTGCGCAATAGCAAGAAATATCCAATAGCACAATATTGCGCAATAGCAAGAAATTGTCAATTGTACAGTATTGCGCAATAGCAAGAAATATTCAATTGCACAGTATTGTGCAAAAGAAGATACTTCGTATAAATTGCTTATTTCTTGATCAATTTCAATAGGGTTTTATTCTTGAATTCTTGGGGTTCTTTAATATGCTGAATCTAACCGTGTATTAAGTTTTTGGATATTGGGCCCCGTTTTTAAATTGGTCCACATTGAGGTCCAAAGGGTCCAAAATTTAACTTTGTTTGATTTCATCAGAAATTGAATATATGGGGTTCTTTGATATGCCGAATCTAACCGTGTATTTAGATTCTTAATTTTTGGTTCCGTTTTCAAATTGGTCTACATTAAGGTCCAAAGGGTCCAAAATTAAACTTTGTTTGATTTTAACAAAAATTGAATTCTTAGGGTTCTTTGATATGCTGAATCTAAACATGTATTTAGATTTTTGATTATGGGCCCAGTTTTCAAGTTGGTCCAAATCGGGGTCCAAAATTAAACTTTGTTTGATTTCAACAAAAATTGGATATATGGGGTTCTTTGATATGCTGAATCTAACCATGTATTTAGATTTTTGATTATGGGCCCAGTTTTCAAGTTGGTTCAAATCAGGGTCCAAAATTAAACTTTGTTTGATTTCAACAAAAATTGAATATATGGGGTTCTTTGATATGCTGAATCTAACCATGTATTTAGATTTTGATTTTTGGGCCCCGTTATCAACTTTGTCCACATTGAGGTCAAAAGGGTCCAAAATTAAACTTTGTTTGATTTCAACAAAAATTGAATATATGGAGTTCTTTGATATGCTGAATCTAACCATGTATTTAGATTTTTGATTATGGGCCCAGTTTTCAAGTTGGTCCAAATCGGGGTCCAAAATTAAACTTTGTTTGATTTCAACAAAAATTGAATATATGGGGTTCTTTGATATGCTGAATCTAACCATGTATTTAGATTTTTGATTATGGGCCAAGTTTTCAAGTTGGTCCAAATCGGGGTCCAAAATTAAACTTTGTTTGATTTCAACAAAAATTGAATATATGGGGTTCTTTGATATGCTGAATCTAACCATGTATTTAGATTTTTGATTTTTGGGCCCCGTTATCAACTTTGTCCACATTGAGGTCAAAAGGGTCCAAAATTAAACTTTGTTTGATTTCAACAAAAATTGAATATATGGGGTTCTTTGATATGCTGAATCTAACCATGTATTTAGATTTTTGATTATGGGCCCAGTTTTCAAGTTGGTCCAAATCGGGGTCCAAAATTAAACTTTGTTTGATTTCAACAAAAATTGAATATATGGGGTTCTTTGATATGCTGAATCTAACCATGTATTTAGATTTTTGATTATGGGCCCAGTTTTCAAGTTGGTCCAAATCGGGGTCCAAAATTAAACTTTGTTTGATTTCAACAGAAATTGAATTATTGGGGTTCTTTGATATGCCGAATCTAACCGTGTATTTAGATTCTTAATTTTTGGTTCTGTTTTCAAATTGGTCTACATTAAGGTCCAAAGGGTCCAAAATTAAACTTTGTTTGATTTTAACAAAAATTGAATTCTGAGGGTTCTTTGATATGCTGAATCTAAACATGTATTTAGATTTTTGATTATGGGCCCAGTTTTCAAGTTGGTCCAAATCGGGGTCCAAAATTAAACTTTGTTTGATTTCAACAAAAATTGAATATATGGGGTTCTTTGATATGCTGAATCTAACCATGTATTTAGATTTTTGATTTGTGGGCCCTGTTATCAACTTTGTCCACATTGAGGTCAAAAGGGTCCAAAATTAAACTTTGTTTGATTTCATCAAAAATTGAATTCTTGGGGGTTCTTTAATATGCTGAATCTAACCATGTATTTAGATTTTGGATATTGGACCATAATAGGTGAATGTCCAATTTAAAATTTTTAAGTTCTTAGACCACATTCATTCTGTGTCAGAAACCTATGCTGTGTCAAATATTTAATCACAATCCAAATTCAGAGCTGTATCAAGCTTGAATGTTGTGTCCATACTTTCCCCAACTGTTCAGGGTTCAACCTCTGCGGTCGTATCAAGCTGCGCCCTGCGGAGCATTTTATTGTATCCTTGTCTTTCACTCTTGCTTATGTACTTTGTCTATAGAGTGTCTATATGCCATTTTGTTTTTCTTTGTTTAAATAGTTATTTGTTTTATAGTGATTAAGATTATAACACTATGTTGACTGCTGTACCTCAATTTTTTTAATTTTATCTATAATGTCAGTGTGTTTTGCTCACACATTGTTGTCAATATAATGGAATGCTATATGACTCTCATACAAGTGAGAGGTTAAATAGCTATAACACCAGGTTTAATCCACCATATTCTACATAAGGAAATGCCTGTACCAAATCAGGAATATAACAGTTGTTTTCCATTCGTTTGATGTGCTTGAGCTTTTGATTTTGCCACTTGATTAGGGACTTTGCGTTATGAATTTTCCTTGGAGTTCGGTATTTTTGTTATTTTACTTTTTTTTTCTAGCACTTTGCGCGTGTTCAAAGAAAAAATACTATTCATTTTATCATTTAAACCCTAATAGAATCAACTGCAGTGGAGGACGGTCACACAAACATACGAAAATGAAAAGTGGTAGTTTTTTTTTCGGGTTTTAACACTTACGTCGGTTATTAACTTGTTTATTTACCCTTAAAAAGTGCACTCTGTTACTTTTTTTTTTCTAGGTTACGTGTTTACAGAAAATATAAGCCAAATGTGGCGGATAGCTGAGAAACTTGAATTTGGTATTGTTGGTGTGAATGAAGGATTACCCGCAATGCCAGAAGCTATCTTCGGTGGTTGGAAGGAATCAGGGTTGGGACGCGAAGGAGGAAAATATGGCATGGAAGACTACTTAGAAATTAAATATGTGTGCATGGGGGGACTAGAATAATACTATGCTGGGATATTAGTGATGGAGTGTATGTAAGAGAGTCATGCATCAAAAAAGAAAACTGTATAACCAGATTGGTAACATTAAACAGAAAAGAAACAAGTTTTATCTAATTACAAACGGTAACATGTGTAGTCTACAGGGTGCCATGTAAACATCGAATTGATAAATTATGTGAAACTATTGTTATTAAAATACTGAATAGAATTGTCTTAAATCTTTGTCTGTTTATTCAATATATAAAATCCATTCATATATACTTCTGTCTCAAATATCAAATGATATCTGTCATATGTAATTTGGCTTGTTCCTTTGCATTCTGCACATAAATGCTATACGCGTATTTTAAATCCATCAATTTTTATTATACATATACTTACATGATTAAAGATATCGTAAGTACCAGTTACTACCAATTAATAGCTTCAACTTGTATGAATAGTCGTTGTTGTGATGCTAAATTTGTGACTCTCTGCTATTTCTGATATGCAGAGAACCAAGTTAATCCACAGAGTATTTTTTGTAAATTCAAACATTCAGACATTCTTTGGTTTGGCTCATTCTTACTCTCTGATTTTCATATTTCACAATTAAAAAAAATAATATGAATGATTTGTTGTCCTAGATGTGTTGTCCTTTCATTTTTGTATTTTCTTTTGGTGTGTATCTACTTCAAATTTTCTCCTATGTTTATATACAGACTAATATATCATTGTAAATTAACAGTTTTCTTGCAATTGGGTATAAAAGGTAAAGTAAAACAAGATAAGTCAAATTCTGCTACATTTATTGTGATATATGTTTCTACAATTTTGATTTCTAAATATTAGATTATGAAGATCTATGCGATCAGTGATGTATGCATTCTTACACCTCAGCATTAGGGTGATTGCCTAAAGCACTTGAGACATCTATGTATATACTGTCCTTATATTCTTCAAAGAATTCTGCTGCCTTTAATATGGATAATACTTTTTCTAAAAAATAAATATATATATATAGGGGGAGAATGTTTTATTTATAATGTGTTTTTTTTTTATTTCCAGCATACATATTTAACAAATTGATCTTTTTGATTTTGTGTGACTTCTTCTGTTTTTTTTTTTTATCAAACTTGCAACAATTTCATTAGACAAACGACATTCCTATGGGAAAAATGTGGTCCTCCGAACCGTTCCTTTATTCAGATGTGGCAGATTTTATAAACAAGATTCTTGATTAGAACTGGCTTCATCTTTTAACTTCACGTTCAGCCATATAGATGATTTCTTTTCACTAAATCATTCAAAGTGACTATGTTAATCCCTATATTCCATCAAGCTTTAGAAAAGGATACCGTCGATACAGTTAAATGTGCCTCATATCTTACATCTAGACATTGACAATGAGGGTCGGTTGAGAACTAAACTTTACGACAAAAAAGATGATTTTTCATCTTTCCTATCATCTTTCAATTGTTATCTTGCAAAATTCCAGCAGCGTCTGCATATGGAGTATTTGTCTCCCAGTTGATATAATATTCCAGAACTTTGAAAGCATATTATGAGTTCATTAATTGAGGATGGATGTGTATATGGAAGCTATTGAACTAGGCCTTACATATGATAAAGTCAACCCTTCGAAAATTGTACGAACGCCATGATGAATTCGTTGACAGTTATTGAATATCTGTTTCACAGATGACCATGGATATGTTCAAATGGTCGTAGCCACAATCCCGTCCCCCTTTTCCTCAATTGAGATAGCACCGAATGCGACCTATCACTAGGCTTTAACTTGCCATGATCAACAAAATGGGTGCAACAAGTGGAGTACATGAGATAACTCTCGGACTTTAGTGGCCTTCGTGTTTGTTCAGTGTTTTGTAAACTGTTGTTTGGTCTTTACGTCGTTTTCCTAGTTTGTCATGATATTGTTTGTTTTTTTCTTCTCATGGTTTTTCTTTTTCCTCTTGATATCTTATATATGTCACTTTTTTACAAGTTTCCATAGTGACAGAGATATCATTGTATGAGAAAAAAATACAATTATGCAAAAAAAGGTTTTAACCGTATAAAAAGTTTTACACACTAATAATATTGAAATCTAGGTATTTTCAAAAAAAACTACTACATTGATCAACAGCCAAATAGTTATTTGCCGCAAAATGTTGATTGCCTTTCATATTATAAGCGCAACATGGCTAGTTCTTTAATACATCAGCTCTAAATACCTTGAGTTTCATAGTATCTTCGCGAAATTCCTATACAACGACCCGATAAGTTTTGATTATACAAACCTTTTGTAAATAAATAAAATATATTTATTGAATATCTATTCACTTTGACACTTTAGTTGCTTGTCTGTCTACAAGTCCCAAAACAATAACAGTAACTATGTGGACCGGGTACATGTAAATAGCAAAATACTTACTGTTAGGTGCAGCCAAGAAAACACGAATGTTCACCTTTTCATATTCATTAAACAGCTGCAAAAGAAACAAGGAATAAGTGTTACTCCATTTATTTTATGAACTGTTCTAACACTTTGTTCGGGCTCAAAAAAAGAATACTGCATGGGAGCTTTTTCGTGTTATTGGGTTGTGTCATTATCGTACATGTATACACACAAGTCCTTATAATCATAATAAGGACAGTGAAAGAGGTGTCTTTGTGAAGAGTAAATAGTCATATAGCCGACTATACGGTATGGGTTTTTCTCATTGTTGAAGGCCGTACAGTTGCCTCTAATTGCTTAAATCCACTTCATTTTAACATTGGTGGATAGTTCTCTCATTGGCAATCATACCACATCTCCATATATACGTTTGACAAATACCACAACAGAGTGGATAAAAAAGAGATATCCTTGTTGATTTAATCTGGCGTTGGTGAAATATGAAATAAATTCATTTGATAAAAGAAAATACATGAAAAAATTAACTGATTACCAGCTAATCAAAATCCACCTGCGTTTATTTATGTACATTTGAAGAATGTTTCAGTATTGTACAATCACCATAAAAAAAAACTTACGCGACGTAGTGCTTTTACTCCGACCAAGTCAACAAAATTTATAGTGGAGCAGTCAAGAACAATAGTTGTGACATCAGTTAATGCACTCGTGTCAACATTTAGTATGACTTTTTCCTTTTCATCTGAATTAACATTTGTTAACTGTTCTTCATTCTGAAACATAAAAGGTCAAAATCCTGAAAAAAATATGATTTATTTTATGTACCTGCATATGGGGTCATCGAACTTTGATCTAGCGATATAATGAGATATTTCTGTTCTGATACAAAATGTTTGTGGGATATTTGTGCCTTCCCAAATTAACACAAAGTGCCATAGAGACAAAAGAGAAAACAAACAAAAAAACAACACGTTGGAATAAAAAAGGCTAAACATAACCGCCAAATGAATCATGACAAAAACGATGCACTTGCTTCTTCGTAGATTAGCTTTAACGAGTGAGATAAACCTATTTGGAATAAAGCACTTCTTGGGCAACAAATTTGTATTGTTTGACTGGTGTTTCAGCATCAAGCTGATTCCTTCTTATTGCGATATCAAATACCGTTTTTGTGCATTCTGTTTTGAATCTTCAACCCGATATAATTCTTATTGCTAAAAACCATCTTATGCAGTCATTAAAAACTGTTAAACACATTAAACACCATCATATATATATAAGTAACCGAAGCAGTCAACGTAGATTCGAATTCGTAAAGAGAAGTTCAATACAAAATAATATATCGATACAGTGACTTACTTCTGCAGATTCTTTTTTCTGTTTATCAAGTTTCTTCTTCATTTTTCTTAGTTTTTCAGGATCGACACCTGATGCTTTAGCTACAGCTTTAACAAACATGTCACTATTTGCAAAATAAATTGGAGATTGGTACTGTATCACTCGGAAGCCACTTGGTTCTGTTTGCTACAAAACCAACGATGAACGATTAGAAGCAATGTTCATATAATTTAACATAACAGTTTAACCCATCATAATATTAAATTGGTTGATTGATTGTTGGTGTTTAATGCATCCTTCGACACTTTTGGTCCGTTCTGGTCAGTTTTTTGTGGTGGAGGAAGCAGGTGTGCCTGGAGAGGACTAGCAATCTGACAATCTATGTCAATTAAGATCGAAATGGAATGCACCTGCCATGAGTGGGACTCGAACTCACAACAGCAGTGTTGACAGACTAATGCTCGCTGTAGATAAGATACTTAGATCGCTCGACCCCCGTAATATTAGAGAGGAAAAACATTAAAACAAGCCTTCTTTGTGACCTTATACTGTTATATTTTGTTAAAGGTAATATGTTTATTTATCTGTCCTAGGCCTATATTGGACATTATATATAATTGCAGTATTTTGTAGCAGTTGGTAAGGATATTGAGTACTTCAGAAACAATTTTAAACTTGCACGTCTATATGCATTTATAGTTTACCGTAGAAATGAATTGATATGAATAAGTGAAAGATTGGTGGTATCGGTCGGTCCATATATCTTATTATTAGAAGTTATTATAAACTTTATTTCAAAGGCGATCACAATTAATTTCATTTTGATCAGTTAAAATATATCATGCATTGTGTTGCCAATATTATTCATTATTTTAATTAGTTTTTAAATGCATCTAGTTAAGAGTGATAATTCGGAGCTTTTTATATTCTATTTCACCGTGCTTCACAAAAACCTTTTACCACCTGGCATATAAATGTCATCTGAATTTTTTTTATTAAAAATGTATATGTATCTTATATTTGTGATTTAATTTCAAACAATCTATGTAACATTTCTCCAGAATGTTTTATGGTTCTATAATATATTTACCGGTGAAAAATCCTTGTATGGCCTCATTATATTCGTCCTTCCAACATATGCCAATCTACTGTATAATGGTCTGTTAAAAAATAAATATATGTATGAAACAAAGCTTTCTCTTATGCCATTACAAGATCAACAATGATTTACTTAGGAAACGCGGAATATGAACATGGCTTTCAATATAGTCTTCTCAAGATTAACGGTTAATGTCAGGCAGGTGAGTTAAACCTTTCTGTCATGTGAATGAGCTTATGGTTTCGACTTATTTTCAACATTCCAGCTTACACAATAACATGTACTGTGTACAGGAAGATTTGTTCTTACTCTAAAATGTCACATGCATTTAACTCTGATTTCATCATAACAATGATGGCATTAACCAACTTCTGCACTCTTAGCAATAGTCATATTGAGACAATCGTTGTTAACATCAAGTTCTACGACATGGTTATCTTTTCTTGGCCTATTCAGAACTGTACATTATAGTTATATAGTCTTGATATATTCAGTTTATATAAAAAACATTTTTGACTTATTATAAGTACTTTGAATTTAATCACGCTTTCGAATATGTCTAAGAACAAATCATTTACTTCCATTGACAAAATTGAATATTTAGGAAATTTACTACTTACATTTGAGTTCGCAGAGCAACTGTAAAGAGTGAATACAGGATACCAATAGCTATTCCAAGGTCAGCATCCAGGATTACAGTACACAGAAATGTCACAAGCCATATAGACTAAAGAATAAACTATGTAATATGACGGCAATATTAATACAGAAAATGCATTATACACACTTACAGTACGCCTGATTATATTTTACATGATAAACTGCTGGTGTTGTATGTAGAGCAGGATATGCTTTCCATATGTAGAGCACATGCCTGCATATCTAGGGATATTATGATTATTATTATCTTTAAATCTGATGAAATGCAAGCCCATGATACCGTTCTAAACATATCGTAGCCTGTATTTCTTATCCTATATGAAAACAAAAATAGTACTGATACAAACAAAAATGATTCCAGATTAGATTGAAAGAAATCTATATCATGAGAGGTCAAATTTAACCATTTATACCTGAGTTTCAGTATTCAAAGGAAAGCATAGGTTTTGTTCATGGCTTATCTGGTAGATTAGTCTTCGATCTAGATATAGTGAGCATATCGGTTAAAATAAATAGACATAGTTGTCGATGTTATAGATCAAACTCGAGTTAGTTTTTATGATTGGGTTACACCGGATGGCCCGAGATTAATTGGCAAATACGGCTTCATTGAACAATTGGTTCTTATTGTGACGTAATAACATAACCATTATGACATAGGAAAAGTACGGGGAATCTAAATATTGAGTTACTAGACTGATAGAAATATAATGTGCCAAATATGAATGTACAGTAGGACGATATAGGACGATTAACAGCTTCATGTCAGCTGGTTAGACACTTAATATTGTCCACAACCATATGGTTCCTTCTAAATGTCCTGGTTAAATGGCGTTTAACAAGGCTCCGTGTTGAAGGCCGTACTTTGACCTATAATGTTTTACTTTTGCAAATTGTGACTTGGATGGAGAGTTGTCTCATTGGCACTCATACCACATCTTCTTATATCTATTTAAGGATTGATGTCTTTGGTTGACTTATTATACTCTTCTTATTTTTTCAGTCATAGGTTTTGATGGGGTACGTGTTGTTCAGTCTTTAGTTTTCTATCTTGCGTTTTGTAGACTGTTGTTTGTCTTTTGGTCATTTCTAATTTTTTTGCCATGTGGTTGTCAATTCGTTTTCGACTTATGAGTTTGACTATCCCTTTGGTATCTACATCATCTCTTCTATAATTCAAAAATCATTACTAGATCGAGTGGTATAACATGCTGCAATGTAGATATCTTTAAAGGTAAATGTATATTTCCATTGAAACCAAGTCACTTTGATACTAAACCTTTAGCATGTTATAGACTGACAAGGATATACCACACAATGGCCAAACAAAGACAGACATAAAGACAAATAACAGTTCACAAATAGTGTATCATACAACAGTGAATTGGTAGACAACGACGATAACGACGACGACGACGATTGTAGATCTAATGAATTACTCACAAAGTCATACTTTGATCTTCTAAATGTTTTTGGTACTTCCAAAAATTGTAAGAACATTCCTCTCAGGTTCACAAATATCACAGATGAAAGCACACACTTCAAAGAAAAAAAAGGAAATTTACATTTATATGCACTTCATTGTGATTATAGAACATACATTTGTAACATGTAATGGACCTTAGGTAACAAAAAAAACTTAAGGTGTGGGATACTGGACTATTTTGATATTTCAGATTAGGGCCCTTGAAAATATATAACAATTTATGTTTGTAAGATATGGAAAATATATAGATATTCGTTCATAAATTGATTTATTAAAAAAGGCATTTGTCTTCTCTGATTATGTTGTGATATCTAAGGTGCTAAGTTAGTTTTCATTTTGCCTGATTTCTTAAAGAATGAGGTTTTATTGAAATCATAATAATATATTTATACTAATGATTATTTATTTAACGAAATTCGCTCCTGTGATAACGATATGTTAATCTTCCGCGAGGTTTTCTAATATAATTGTTAAGATAAATACAAACAAAATACACAAACACAGCATGCTTAAGATGTATAAAAACATATTTTGGTAATTTGAGTAGGGAATTAGCATCTTCCAATCGAGTGAGAGAAAAAACAATACGGGTTTTCGTTTGATATACATGTGGTTCGAGTATCTTTATTTTGTAAAGGTAAAAAATAGTAAAACTTGAAACATTAGATCTGATAAACTTATTAAATTCTAAATATTTGTTTCCTTAATTCAATTTGGAAAGTTATTCCAGCTAAGAGACTAAACATTTTTTTAAATGATCTGAATTATAATTATCTTGATACATCAAAGGTCTAAATATTGTCGGCCTGCGCGTACAGCAATTATAAAGATCACTACATGCAGTGAATTTATTACATACATAATCAGATGATAATCCTTTCATACAGCTCGCAAATACTTATACTCATAAAAAATATCATCCATTCAAGCTTTTTAAACGTTTAACTTGATGGAAAATTAGAAGAAACGTTTGAAATAAGTCGTGCGAAACATTTTTTTGCGGATTACAGTTTGTGGTAAGGTCCAATACTGCTACTTGTTTATAGACATTGTAAAATAATTAGAACCTTTGGTTATAAATATAGATTTCATAACAATGGAAGATTGGATTATTCTATACAATGATAGTAATGAGTTGATAAGAAGTCATATATTTACCTTGGGTAATGAGTAAAATAATGGTCCAACTGCTACTATAACAACTAGAACTACCAGACAACCAAACAAGGACGCTACCTGGGTTCGCCCACCAGCGCCATCTTGAACCATACTTCGAGCTACCGAAGCTGCAGTTATATAGCCAGAAAACAGTGAGCATAAAACACTTCCTGCTCCATAGGCTACCATTTCCTGCAACAAATACAAGTCAATGTTCTTAGAATGGAAAACTGATGACCGACATGCACCTAATCAATTAAACAAGTACTCATTTGAACACCCGGTACACAGGCAAATTTTGCTCATGTGAAATTCATGTGAAAAATTTCACGTGACATTCACCTCAAACGAGCTTATACATGAAACTCACATGTAATTTTCATGTGAATTTCACGTGAATTGAGATTCACATGAATCTCATGTGAACTTTTACAAAAACAAAATTGGTATTTTTCATGATTTTAATTAAATTTGAAAATATAAAAGTTATTTGAATAACTGTATTTTTAAAATTCACGTTAATTTCACGTAAAAAAATTCATGTGATTTTCACGTGAAATTCATGCGAGTTTCACATGATATTCACGTGAAACTCAGATGAATTACTGAGTTTCACGTATAAGCTCTTTTGAGGTGAAATTCATGTGAGTGAAATTTCCCTATGTATACCGATCTCCAATCAACGACTTTTAATGAAAAACAAGGCGTCTTTCAAATGTTGATTTTAGATCGTGATTTTCTAAACTCAACAACTTAAATTTCAAAGAGCGGTTTAGAAATAACGAAATTTCACAAGGGACTATTAACCTCCAAAAATACCTTACAAGACGGGCAGTGGACACAGTTATCGTCCTTTGATATTCGTTGATTACTTTCTCATATACTTAGTAGTCCCTAGTGTGGACAGTATTTAACCTGTACATTTTTTTCATACACCTTTCAAATGTATTTCTTTATATTTTATGCATAGATTAGTAAGAAAGAAAGAGGATGAAATTACATGCTAAACAAATTTGGGTGATGAAGTTTCAGGTAAAGTAATGATTTGGTCAAGTTGAAGAAGGTAAAAAAATTAGTATGTCTGAAGCTGTCAAACTGAATTATAGACACTCTTAACATGGAATTTTCCATATTTTGAATTAGAGCTAGAAGAATCTTAGTAGACTTTTCTGTAATGTTGATATCATTTATCCCAAAAGTAGTACATTACACTGTAAACATTTAAAGATATCGCAGGTGCAATTTGTTTAATTTGAATTTATTGTCTAAAAGGAATGCACAACGAAATAACTGTGTTCTCGTGCCAGACAAGAAGATATAATAATTGTCTTTTTACTTTTATTGTCTTTGTTCGTAGAAAATTTACCTGACTCGGATTAATTCTGTAGTTATTTTTCTTTGCTAGTATCTTCGCCATGGATACAGACTGAGAGAATGCTACAATTCCAATAATAATGGCATCCTTCACGTGTCCATCTAAAAGTGTTGGATCAGGAATATCAGGTTTGGGTATACTGTAAAAAGAACAAAATTAATGATATGTGAAGAAAATAAAACAGAATTGTGTAGTAAAACCCGTCCTATATACAATAAGTTATGGTGGCACGAGAAATGAATAAAAAGTTGCATCTTACCCAAATAACAATACTCACCCCGCAGGAATGTCTTTTAATACATTTACGTCAAAATTTTCTCTGAACTTTGCGAAGTGTGATATAACTGTAGCTATGGCAACCTGCAGTTGAACATTTTATAGTTTTAAAAATATATAACAATTGAAAAAGACATTAATTTTATAATTTTGTATATCTTAATGAATGTGAATATTCTTTTTTATTTTTTAATTTGTCGTTAATCACAGATCTTTGTTAGTCTCTGTTAAGTTCATTCTTAACTTTTTAACAATCTGACAATGTTAGCACATGCCTTATTCTACGTTTCTCGCTAGAATAGCCTACTACTGGGAGGGTAATTTAGGGACCATGTTTAATTCTTATTAGCCAATAACCTCAAATACTTTATTATTATGCCAATAAAATTTCCAAAGTCCGGAAGTGCAGTCGGGAGCAACGATGGGAATTTTTATTGTTCCTTCCGGCTGCACTACTTGGAAATTACTTCATAACATTTACCAGGATATAGTATAGTCATCAATTTTTAAAGTAGATTCAATCGAGAAATCATTCAAAAAGGGGACCTTTATTCTTATTTTTTATCAAGATATATATACTTTATTTTTATAAGTATATCACAGACGACACAGAGGTGAACAACCTGATAAAATTTCTAAACAATAATATGAATTTAACATTGTACCTATCACACATTATTCTGTTAAGAATTTACATTTCGTGAAGAACTATCATATATATACTTTATAGTAACACAGTCAACCCTGTTCGTCACAGTTTCATATAATCACTCGCCAAAATGTAATATTAAAGCTATTTAAAGGAATGAATGCAATAATAGCTACGTTATATGAATTTAAGGCGCAATTACTATATTAGTAAGCCACCTACAAAAACCAATAACAACAACAACACTGTTACACCTTGACATAAGGCATGCGCATTCCTGACCTCAAGATGTCTTATAGTTGGTTTTTTTCTTGTCTTTGAGTCTCATAGACCTATGTCTCTCATCTTCTTTTATTCATAGTTAATAATGTTTAAATTATCAATCTTTTAGTCAGTGTATAAAGATCGCAATCTTAAGGAATAAACCTTCAGTCAAATTGTATCCCTTTTTCATTATTACTTTTATAAAAGAGAGACATTCCCACGTTACAATTTATGTCTCTTCTAGGGACAAATTATTGTTAGGGATCCTTAAATGTTTACTTACTACAATAATCTCTATAGGAATAGGTATCTTTAATTTACTCTTGAATCGTTGGTTGATCTGTACTTTAACAAGGTATAAAATCACCATGGAGATTATTGACGTCAACAACGCGGCAACATTGGTGGACGAAACATTAAGTATTATGTCTTTCCATGTCTACAAAAGTATTAAAACAAACTTTAATGCACAGATGTAAAATTCACAATATGCAAAATAAGTTTCATTTAACCATGTTTACCATTTCTAAATTCAAATAACATATATTATCGAAAACATTTGCTTTTGTTATAATGTACATGTATCAACAAAATTTCTTTCAATGTATAAAGAGAGGGACACATGCTACAGCCAGATTTAAACTTGACTGCGATTATAAAATATTTGCAGATCGTCAATAAATAACACCAACTCATGTGGAATATAAAATAAGTTATTATTTTTTTGAACTTAACATTGTGAACAATTCTTACTCGGATTATTTTAAATACACCATTATGTCGCTGAACATTGATGCCCAATATATGTTTCATCTGACTTGTTACTACATGGATTGCTACACCGGATGTGAATCCGCTGACCAAATATTCTGACATGTAGGTGGCTACCAATCCAAGTCGCATCTTCCCCAAAAGTACCTATTAAACATATAGATAAAAAAAAATGGTGAACAGTGGTCTATATAGTTTATGTCAAAATGACGAATGGTACAGGGTTTCAATTTTACAGTAATAAATATACATTTTAAGCCACGTATAGATGTCAATGTTATATTAAAGTGACATTAGACGCTTAAAATATTTGAAAGTTATTGCTTTATTTGTGGAGTACATTGGAAATAGAGTATTTAATATATCTAGAAATAGTTAATATTTTTTTTGTTCATTTTAATTCAACAAAAATTTTGAATTCCTTTTCAAAACGTTCCGTGTTAATATTTATGATGTCACAGTACAATATTTAACAATCGATCACACCCCGGGTTCAATATACGATGTATTTACTGGCTGATGTTCAATGGGTAAATACATGTAAAATCATTTCGGGGCCTTTTATAGCTGGCTATGCGGTATGGGCTTTGCTCATTGTTGAAGGCCGTACGGTGACCTATAGTTTTTAATTTCTGTGTCATTTGGTCTCTGGTGGAGAGTTGTCTCACTGGCAATCATACCACATATTCTTATTTTTATAAAAACAATAAAAGTAGGAAGTAAAATACACGACATTTTGTATTGCTGTATAAACATACCATCACTAATCCTGACACAAACGACAGAGCAGTCGCCATTTTGATCTTCTTGATCTCGTGTTCCGTCATTCCAGTTTGTTCCAGAATAGGCATGGAATCATTGGTATAATTAGAGACCATGACACCAGGTGAGTTATCCTTACCTAGACTTGTGTCAAGGACGGATGCGATCATCAATCCAACGATTGCGATAGTTCCTGTAAAATAAAATCACACAACGAATATTGCCACTAATATCAAATCAGTATGAAGAAAACAGAAAAATATGGACAATGCCCTACCCCTTATCCCAATCAGAAATTGAAATATTTTTGTTTGAGGTAAATTCAGGAAAGCGCTTCGGACAAATTTATGATTTCATTATCCTTTAATAGGTTGACCTGCAACATTATACACTTTTGCCTTTTGTACTCAGCATATAATTCGCAAGTCCAAACGTTTAGTCTCGACCATACCTGGTGAAGGTTATTCAAGAAACAAATGCTGTGCACACGGGATTAATATCATATGTTTTTGTATGTATGCACCAATCTCATATTATACTAGAAGAAAATCATTACCCTATTTTATTAACGAGAACATTTATATGTACAAAATATTTACTGTAATATCCGATCAGTGAATGTATCCTAGTTTATAAACTTAAACAAATGTTCCTTTAATCCATCAGAATTGATTTATTGTTATATACAAGTCTTTATCTCACAGCTTCAGGTCAGTAAAGCTAATTATATATAAATGCACATAAAACCAAATCCTTACTAAAATTTAACATACCTTTATTCGTCTAAAAGGAAGAGAAAACATACCCATTGAAGCATGTCTTGAAGTCCCAGTAAAAAAGTATATTAACGGTCCAAAGAAAGACGTATACAGACCACAGATTGGAGGAAGAGAAGCTAGCAAAGCATATGCCATTCCTGTAAATATATTTAAAGAAAGTACAAATATGAAACAAAGTACATGGGGATTCATAAAGTACACTAAATGTGTAATGTTTTGTAATATTATCGCTTATACATACAATCAGTATAAAGTAACAGATTGAAGATACATAAAATTTTTCCAAAAACGTACAAGAGAAGAAAGTACAGGTATGTGAGCTTAATTACAGTTTGTATAAAGCATGGAACTACATTTATCTTTTAGTTACATCCTATAAACTTCTGGGAATATCACTAGGTCAGTGGCCATGGTGTATTTTAAATACACGGGTAGTACAAAAGTTGGAAGAAGAGTTACGTATCTCTCTATCTTCTTTAGTTTTTGCTCAAAACACAAAAGAGGGTAAAACAATCCTTATTAAAGGGCAATTACTCCTATAAAGAGTGACAGTCTACTACCTATATCGGCAAAATTTGACTTGTTAGTAGATCTTGACTTGCTGATCATTTTTGTGGTTTAAAGCGTCTATTTATCTACACTACAATTTTTATCATGTAAGGCAAAACGCAAAAAAGGGAAATAACACAAATAAGGAGTCGTCATACGATTCCCCCTACTAGTCTTAATTGTAGATCTTGTCTTGCTGATCATTTTTGCTCATTTAAGTTTCTATCTATCTATTATATTTTTTAAGTTATAAGGCAATAATGCCAAAAAAATGGTAAAACTCGTCATCAAAGAGCAATAACTCTAATAAGGAGGCCGCTGAGGATTTGTAGAATTTGTCTTGCTGATCATTTTTGCAATTTAAAGTTTTTCTCTATCTGTTCTAGTTTTCAAGATAATAGAAAAAAATGAAAAAAAATGGTAAAATTTGTCATTTAAGGGCAATAACTCCCATAAGAAGTCGTCTGATAGTTTTGACGTATAGAGACGTATAGAGACAAATGGTAGAGCTCAACATTCTGAACATTTCTGCTCCGTCAGATTTTCTCTATTTATAACGGTTTTCAAAATAATAGACAAAACTTGCATGTTCTATTTTTAGCCATGGCGGCCATCTTTGTAGGCAGGCAGATTCATCGGACACATTTTTTAAACTAGATACCCCAATGATGATTATGGCCAAGTTTGGTTAAATTTGGACTAGAAGTTTAAGAGGAGAAGATTTTTGTAAAAGTTAACGACGGACGACGGACGCCAAGTGATAAAAAAAGCTTACTTGACCCTTTGGGCCAGGTGAGCTAAAAAACGATTGTTAATCAACTTGAAAAAGGGTTGTTTTGTCCAATCTAATGTTTTTCGGTTTGTTTTTGTGTGTGAAGAGTTTTGTTGAATATAGTTTGTCTGTTCATCGTTTTTCTTTGGCCATAGCGTTGTATGATTGCCATGGATTATTCGTTTGGATTGCTGCTTAGTATCTTCTCTATATTTTACATACTAGTATATAGTGTACAAGTTGTCCTGCTTTATGATCAAAGAAGTTGTTAAAAAAAAGAAACAAAAATATCAAAGACAGATTGATTTTATCAATTGTTGTTTGCTTAATTTTCAGTGGAAAATATCTCTTGAATATTCAGGAAGATAACATATGAACAATACATCAAAAAGGTAGGATTTGTAAAGTGGATTCTGAAAGATAAAGGTTGGGTAAATTTAGATTTCATCTAGAAAAAAAATAATGTTTGAACTGTTGCCTTAAAACAGTCTACTTACTGATTCCCCAATGAGTTGGTACAAGATTTATTTATAATTGCTTAGAGTGTTTCATTCTCCCTCCAAGAGACATCGGATTTAACGTCTCCGTCCAGTTCGTACTTGGCTACGTATTTATACATCCAATTAAACTAAAACGGGTGCCCTTTCTAGCATGGGTTTATAGCTGGGTGGGAGGAGTTCATGTGTTCAAATGTGAATACACTTGTAAACCGAAAATCGAAAAAAAACAATAAAAATGAATGTATTGGATACTAGTATTCATTTATAAATTGTAAAATTTCAAATGTTTTTTTTATTGCGTAAATGTGGGTTAAGTGTAACTCAAATTGTTACCCAAAAGAACTTGAAATAACCATTTCCATTGTACACATGGGTATCACCAACTATGAAGGTAGTATTTCGGTACTGGCATGAAAATACAGATATTGTTTTATTAAAATTTTGAAATTTATTTAAAAAAAAAAAAAGACTTATCTTCCTCGTGCATAGGTCTTATTAATTTTCCAAGTTTAAATTCTGTTTGTCCTTTTTGATTTTATCTCAGTTTTTTGTATATGATTTTGGATAGGAAGCATCACTTAAGAGTCATTACATGTCAAAATGCGCATGTGGTGCATGTGGTGCAGCACATTAGATGTCTTTAATGTTATTAGTTCAAGTACTGTAGGTAATGTATAAAAGCCGTTTAAATATATTGGATATAAAATCTTAGTATTATTTGTTCAGAGATATTCTGCTTTATTTATAATTACATATATTTGCTTCTAAAGGGACACTAGCTGTCAAATTCATTTTCACCGAATTGACTCAAATTCTCATATTTGATTTATAACATACTAAAACGTATATCCAAGTTACATGAATGCGGATGCAATGAGGTTGACTTATTGCATTGCAAGTCAATAATACATCAGCGCTGTTTTTGAGCTTCTTTTTACAAATTTTGGCCAAACTGACTGCTTATTACAAAATATTATTTTAAAATTCCTCTTTTATTAATACTTGAAGCAAAAAAAAATATTTGTTATAGTATTTTAATTTTCTGTCTAAATTATAGTTAATGCCCCTTTAATTAATACAGAGGTGTCATCTTATTATATAATAAGTTAGCAGTCAGTGGTGATTAAATTATTTAATATGAAAAATATTACCTTGGAAACCATAACTGCAGTTAGTGTGTAGAAATAAGTATAAACATTATTTGTTCTACGTAAAAAAAAATAAAACGATAAAATAAATGCCCAATAAAACAAGAAAATAAAACGTTCGCCCACATATTGGACATTAAGTATTTAGAAAAGAATATATAACTTTTACATTTCCGAACGTGCCAACTTGTACTCATTCTATCACATATCGTTTTCACGTGTCTTAACATCTTAATGTATCGACTGTATATTAGAGATATCTGGAACTGACTGATACCATTGTTTTACCATATTTGACTAGAAGATTAGCTTCTATAGCTGTTTAAAGTTGGCAACCAGCTTGCTATCAAAAGTTAACATTCTCTAACGATAACTTTGAAAATACCTACAAACTTAAAAGATTAATTTCAGATATAAAGTAATATCGTGGTGGACATAGTTTTAAATTGTGTGTGTCTTTTTTATGGTCTAAATTGTGTGTGTCTTTTTTATGGTTTAAATTGTGTGTGTCTTTTTTATGGTTTAAATTGTGTGTGTCTTTTTTATGGTTTAAATTGTGTGTGTCTTTTTTAGGGTTTAAATAAACCTCCTCTCGATTGTACAACTGTTACGGTCTATACTTGGCTATTATGATTTCTTTGTCATTTGGCTGGTTTTATTCAATGGCGTCACATCTTCTTGCAGGAACATGGGCTTAAAACTACCTGTTTGTTTTCAAGACAAACTTCTTCATTGAATGAATTGTTGAAAATCAGCATGAAATAGGCAATGGGTCTGGCATTTCTCGGCAGCATTCTTTTATGTCCTACATTTCTAAAATTGTATGTGATCCCTAACTTCGGCCGGAGAATAATCTCGAAACCAAGGGTTAGGATAAGCCATAATCCGATGGATGCATTAATGGATGACGTCATTAGCTCAATTACGTCATTAATGTGTACTGCACTTTTTTGCGTACTTTTCATCTTTTAACGTTTTTGAGGGTTTTTTTATTTTTTTACTTGCGTTTTTTATCACCCGTTCTTTGTAAAGGTATTTTGTTCTTTTTTGAATAATTTCTATCTTCTATATTTTATGTATTTACATTTTTACTTATATTCTTTTTACTATGATACATTTTTTAATGTAAACCCTTGAAAATTTCAGGAAAGTAAGCCTATGGCATACATAAAATATACTGCAAAAGCGCCTAAAAAAAGAGAGTAAATTTGAGACTCTATACTTCTAAATATAATAAAATTATTATATCTATTATTCTATAATATTTATAAAAGAATCCATACATAATTTATTTTCATAAATTTCATAATCCGAATTTTTTAATAATATTGGTAAAAAAAACGCGCGAAAATTATAAGATGGAGGAATTAAATTTAGCACAAAAACGTCGACGTCATAGTACATTACGTAGTTCATAACATTATTTGAATTGGCCGATGAATCGGCCTTTTGGCACTGACAGGAGTATGACTTTGGGCCGATAATCGGCCCTTTGGCACAGAACTCGTTAAATATCAGATGGTCAAACTATTGGTTTTCAACTCTGATCTGCTTAACGTTTTACATATCCAAAATATCAGGCGGCATAAGATGATATCGAGTTTATTAATAAAATGTGTAATATCTGTAATAAATTTCTACTGATTGTACGCCAAACTTTTGAACATTTCCCGCTAATTATGATGTTTTATCCTTAATGTACCCTATTGAAATATTTAGTTTGGAAAAAAAATGGAAACGAGTACTCAAAATATAAGTTAAAATAACTAGATCTCGAAATGTTTGCAAGTTTGAAAAATATACAATTGGTTTAACATTACTGTGCAGTGTTAGGTTTAAATATGACATACTGAAAATTTTCGCTGAATATATATTATTCAAACATGAATTTGAATGGAACAATACAACATCTTTTTTTCTATTTTTTTGTATTTGGATACACCTTCAGGGTGTTAAACCGAATGGGTGTATCTAATTTACACCAAGATATTATTGTCAATGCAGAATGATAGTTTTCAATAATTTAGGAGGAATTTGTTTAAAATTGGTATGACGAATACTGTTACATGTAATGCAGGGCAAGCTCATGTTGATTTGTCACATACATATGTTTTAATGGCATATTTGTCCAATTTCTGTATTGACCCTTCGATATCCGTTCACCTAGATACATGAAATTAACTGAAACTCGAAAATCAATACATTTTCTGAAAAATCAACATGAGCTTGCCCTGCATTAGATATAACAGTATTCATCCACACCAATTTTAAACAAATTAAGTCGTCTCGCAAGCCTCCAGATTTTTTGGAAAATTTTGTGTTCACCCCAAGAACCGGTTTGGCCACAACATAACAATTTCAAGTTTATTTACAATTTACACAGTGTGTATATGTTAAATATGTTTAAATGAACATATGCTCCCATATTTTAGGATTTTTTCATTATAGGTTGAAAAATACAGGCAAAGTTTAGATGTTTATGAAGTGTCCTATATTTTGACTTTAGTGGAACCTTAAAACGACATCTTGATTTAAATCATAATACAGCACATGCACTGGATCCTTGCTTATCGAACTGGAAATATTTGAGCAGACGACATATGTGAAGCCATCATGTTCTGATGTCTATTTCTTTTTTAAGGTTATCTCATTCTATACAGTCATGATTTATTAACTTTTTATTTGAAAATAAATTGTCAAATAACAAGATCTCATGTTGTTTAAATATCTTTTTCAGGTTCAATGACTTTTTTCTACTGTAAACTGCAAACCGGTTAATGTTTTTGTGTCAATGTTGCATATAAGGGAAAGAGTAAAAATAGAAATACATTGGTATGAACTATGTTCCACTTTATGTCACACCAACACTCAAAATTTTTGTCTGCATAGTTGTAAAAGCAAAGATATAAATAAATAAAGTATAATAATAATAATAATAACATAAAAATTATGAAAAAAAAATTAAGAAAACACGTATCCCAAAACGTATAAAAGAATACGTTCATTTTACAGACAAAATCAGAAAAGGACATTCGGTGCTATTCTAGGCACAGCTGTTTATTTATTATTTTTTTGCTATCATCCAATTTTTAATTTGATCTTCAAAATTAACAGCCTTTGCAGATTGTTTCGATATTCTCTTGCCATATCCACGATATAACCGATAAGCATATCTCGTATAAAGACAGGGGAACTTTCATATCTAATTATAATTTGAACAAACCTTGTGGAATTTGCATGATTCCGACTGTAAGTCCTGCGATTATATCACTTGGAAGATCCTGTAAAATCTTATATTTCCTTATGACATTTATGAAAGGAAAATTAGAATGTAAGGCCGATTTTAATTTGTCTCTTGTACAACACTTCCCTGCATACCCAGTTATTTGTTGTCGTAGTGTTGCTTTCGGTGCAGCATCTTGGAGAGCATACCGTTCTTCAAAATCCTCAACTTTATTCCATTTCTCGGACACTATTTCTCCGTCCATTCTTGAGTTGTTCGTTTCCATATCTGACGCCCGTATGTCAACACGTTAAAAATCATTTAAATTGTTTGTGCATTTGAATACGTGTACACTAGAAATGATAACTTTTTATTTATAACGTACAGTGCATCGGTGTTTTTGGATAATTGAAGCATACACAGACATGTGATATTGACACCAAACTCGATCATTTACTATGACATACATGTCTCTTTTTTGTTTTATTTTTCAATGTTTTCATGTATTTCAGCGATGATATTTTTGTACTGGATTTTATACTGAATAAAATTAGTTAGTTACTTACTTAAATCATGAACTGTATACTTATAGCTAAGCACTTTATTTTTATAACTCCCAATAATTTTAATAAAGTGAGAGGAATACGTGTATTTGTACGAGGAATTAAGTGAAACTTTCATAAGGTATAAGTTCTTACAAACTCTCAAGACTCATCTTTTTTATTATGTCAGTCAACAAATATAGAATATTTTTTTTATTATTTTATATGTATTATTAAATAATGATATATAAGTGAGAGGCTTAGCTAGCTATAAATTCATGTATAATCCACCATTTTCTACATAAGGAAATGTCTGTATTAAGTCAAGAATATGACAGTTGTTTTCCATTCGTTTGATGTGTTTGAGCTTTTTATTTTGCCATTTGATAAAGGACTTTCTGTTTTGAATTTTCCTTAGAGTTCGGTATTTTTGTTATTTTACTTCTTACACCAGAGTGTGCGTGTAAACACACCCCGAAACACGAGGAAAAGTGTGTATTTATCAAAATAAAAATAAGGAGATGTGGTATGATTGCCAATTATCAACTATCCACCAAAGTTCAAATGAAGTGGATATTAGCAATTATAGGCAACCGTAAGTCGGCCTTCAACAATGAGAAATACACATACCGTATAGACGGCTATTAAAGGATTCGACATGAAAAATATGAAACAATTCAATGAGAAAACTAACGAACTAATTTATAACAAAACAATTTACGCAAAACATATATAACAGACATGAACCAACGACAACCACTGAACTACAGGCCTCTGACATGGGACAGGCACATAAAGAATGTGATGGGGTTAAACATATATTTGAAGGCACCAACCCTCCCCTAACCTGGGAAAGTGGTGTAACAGTACAACATAAGAACAAACTATAAAAATCAGTTGAAAAGGGCTTAACTCGTCAGATCGATACAAATCAGAAAAACAAAAGCACAGACCGGACGTGGCAGGGTATTTATACATCCCTGAAAACTAAAAAAGACAGATCTGAGAGTACTCGAAGTTTCTGACAGCTATTTCAAAGCCAATAACAACTAATTAAAAATTATGCATCTGAAACTAAAAGTTTTTTCAATGTGATGCTTTTTTGTCTACTTTGTGGATGTGTTCATATTAGTTTTTGTCAATATATCACGTTGTCTGAATCTGATTTTGAATTCTTATGTTTCTTTGTATACTTTATCACTTAATATGTTATATATAATTATCTATCATTTATTGTTATAGACATCTGTCTTATAAAACCATTTTCTGTATTAATTTGTTGGTAATTTAACCCTTTCTGGATCCATTGTTTAAAAAAAATTAATCAACGTGTGGTTTCCGAGGATATCAGTTGAGGATTGGCTACGTTAAAAGGCCATAGAACCTTTATCATCTCTTTGATCTTCCGCAATTGTTGTTCAAGTTGTTTACTATTACAAATATGAATATATATTTCATTAAATGTAATGTTTTTGATTGAAAGCGACATTTCTTAATGTTTGCTTCCATTTGATCCACAGATGCATAAATGAAGTTTTTGTGCATCAATATCTTAATTGTATGACGTAGAAATCAGGAATGTGGAAGGCACTCGAAGGGGATTTTTTTTAATCAAAAATGAAAATGTATTTGATAATCATTAGAGAAACATATTTTTATATAGTTACTCGTGGATACTCGGATTATCCAATCTCGATTGTATAAATCCGATAATACACTGGTTCCAATGTAAGAATCTATAATCAACATGTGGTTCGTTTGATCTCAATTCTTCAATTAGGACGTCAAATGTTCTTGCAGTCCTCTGAAAATCCTAATTTGACTTCATGAAAAAGTCGGCCTCGCTTGATGACGTCACGTATAATTTATAAAGAACGCATATTTGTTATTACCCACTGATATGTCAATCAAGAATTTTGTTCTGTGCGAACATCCCCAATTTTAACAACCATAGCTTATTCAGCAAATAAATATGCAGCAAAGACTTCACTTGTTATAACCAACATGTCAAGATTCCTATTCAGCGGCGCGGTAATCGGTAGACTTTACAAACGAGGAAGCGTTCAGGTAAGTACAAAAACAAACACAACTAACATTGAGTCATATACTCAAACTATAAACATAACACACAAGACAGTAACTTAGACTCATAATCAGCCCAAGGAAACCACACTGCACCAAATTGTGATTTGAAAATCCAGGAATCGAAACCCACATAATTTTGCCTAACGGAAAGCACTCAGAGCTTAAAATAGGGATCTTTAACGTGCAAAAGAGCCTTGCACTTTTTGCACACGAGACATCGGATTTAAATTTTCCATCAGACGGACATACATTAATATATATGTACATGTAGGACTCGGAGGTGCGATAGGGATGCTGAAGTGCGATAGGGACGCTGAAGTGCGATGGTCACGCTGAAATACAAAGATCTGCGCTGAAGTGCTATGGTTCGTTCGCTGAAGTGCGGTTGTCTATTTTTGCTTAGTTAAAGTTTCATACTGAAATAGAGATCGTTCTCTTTAATTTTGCTGCATGTTGACCAATTCTGCGTTAACAGTTTATCTTTACTTTGTTCCTCTCATGAGTTTCACGTTTACCGTAATATTATAATACGGCGAGTGTGTCTGCGGACCCGTTTGTATTTAGAAAATACCACGCTCCATCGAATGTAAAGTGCCTTCTGTATATTTCGATAATAAAAGAATCTGCTATAGAAGGCTGAATTTGCCCTCTCTACTAATCACTCACCTTTTCCGGTTGTATTAATGTTTATATGCCCCTTATTTACTTGTTCTCATATTGAATATGCATAAAATATTCGCGACTGGAATTTGAACATTAGACATACATCAATCTATTGATCTTTATGCTTCACAAATAAGAAAGTTGTTTTTTCCTATGTGGTTTGTCTTGTAACATGAACGTAGTGTTTGAGATAGCATTCCGTGATGGGACCATACTATAGGACTATAAAAGGAAAGATTACGTGTCCCTTCCAAACATTCAATATGTTCTCCAGTTGCAGTTAAACCACCTATGGTGATAACTATTATATTGCATTTCAAACAACTACCACCCAGTGGGAAATCTAGTGAAAAGGAACAAAAGAAAATTACCTCTTCTTATGATAGAGTCGGGAAAATCAACAATAAAACAATGCCGGTGACGACACTTATCAAAAGTTATTTCTAAATGATAATTGTACATTTTAAAGAAATTATTTGTTAAACTGTGTTATTAGAAATATACATGCAAATACACGATGTTTTATGTTTAGTATTTATCGAGATAATTGCATTAGAAGCTTGTGAAACTGAAATCTAAAAAATGCCAATCTTTGGTGCATATTGATAAAAAAAAATGGGAAAAATCATGTACATTCAAAGTCTTAAGATCTTTCTGGTCACCAATTTTTGGAGTGTTCTACAAAATCCTTAGCAAGTTACAATTTTCCAAAACATACTTATTTTTCACATTCGAAGTTTTCGAGTACACCGGTCTGCTCTTGTCACATGAAAATTCAATACAGAAATATTGTCTTTTCATGAATATAACAATATAAAAGTCTGTCTGTGCAGGTTAAAAAAATAAAGATAAAAAATTCTTAAAAAGTATGCATCTTTTTACTATTTTTTATACAATTTTAAGAAAAGGTCGTCTCGATTTGTGTACATGTATTTGCGGTCTTCTCGATCTATTCACATTCAATGTTTCCATCGAGATAAAGTCCGTTTGAATTTGCTTAGTAACTTAATTTCATAAGTGCCAATCTTTGCTGCATATTAATCGATTCCATTTGAATTTTTTCCCCGACTTTCTCTGATCTAGCTGCATATATATACGGATAATTAGCATGTTCCAGAGAGGTATACAGCCAGTAAAAAAATAACTTGAAGTTGGTACTCCAGGAATTTATTCGCATAGCAACATTTCTTTTAAACCAATTTTACACCAAGCTCCTTAAGTCTGTTGTACTCGTCGTTTTCTATTTAATGAGGGAAATGATATCATTAAATGGAAGTTTTGTTTTTATTTCAACTTATTTCTATTTTTACTATTTACGAGAACGTGTTCCCGTGAATTTATAATTGAGAGCGTCCTTGCTAAAATGGGACAAACATTGAAAAGATCTAGTTTTCAGTGTTTACAGGGGAGGTAATATTTTGTCACTAGCTTTCCCACTGCCACAGTGATGTTTTGCATTCATTGAAATATAACTGGTTTTAATGGAAAATAATCTGTGCATGTAGCGTATTGAAATATTGTATGAATTGGTTTATTTTTGTCCAGGCATATTTACAAAGTAACAATCAACGCTACAGTTATGAATGGAAATGTAATGACTATTTATCATGACTGGTTTAATTTAAGCAGGTTATACCTTCGAGGATTTACTTGAAAACATTATCATCTGCTTCTAACAAACAAATTGAATTTTACATCGACCTGTGAAAATGAAAAACATTGAACATGTTATAGTTTGTGTAATCCATCGCACTTCAGCGTTACCATTCATTGTCTATTTACCTTGAAACTGTTGCTTACTTTACATGTATTAATTTGTCATTAGATCAGTTTAAGAAAAACCACTAGTGGTAGGTCAATGATATTTGATATGTACATGCATTATCATTGGCACATTTCATTTCAATGGAGATTATTCAAATCCGCTCCCTCATTCATTGTCTATTGACTTTACTTTGAAACGTTTGCTTACTTTACATGCATGAGATTGTGATATGGTCAGTTTAAGGGGAACCACTAGTGGTAGGTCACTGATATTTGGTATGTAGACGCTATAGGATTTGCACATCTCATTTCCATAGAATTTATTTGGCTCCGCTTCCTCAGTCATGGTCTTT